TTTGCCGCTTCCATCTACGTTACAGAAGAAAAAATGAGAAGAAAGGTTGTCTCAAATACTCGAACCATTGTTTTTTCCGACGTATTTTACTGCTTCTTTTCTTTCGTGATTCTCGAAAGGGAAACTGACGCAGGCGCATAGCAGCGGTTTCTCGTATCAAACTAAAATTTACCGGACATGCGCAACAAAATGCCCCTCTGCTTAAAAGGAGTATTTGTCAGGAGTGGGATTCGAACCCACGCCTACAAGAGTAGACTGCGACCTGAACGCAGCGCCTTAGACCGCTCGGCCATCCTGACTTCCGTAATATCATACGATTTAAGTTATTTGTTAATACTTCAGGGAGGGAGGGGAGGGAGAGGAGGGGGGGGTGGGTAGTTGAGCCGAGTAAGGCGTTATGGGTCGGAACGAGGTTTGTGACTATGTTTCACTCGAGCTGAAACGAGGTCAATCTTTTAAATCAACTCACCACCCGAACTCCCACCACCCGAACCCCCACCACCTCCTCAATTGTTTGCGTGACGGTTCCATCTTTGATCAGTGGCACCCTCGTTAACTCGAATTCCCCGCTAACTCGAAGCAAAACTGATTTCCCTTGAATTTGCCTAACATATTTACTGTAATTTTAACCCTATAACTCAAAACCCCGATAACTCGAAGTGATTTTTACTTCCCTTCAGGTACTTTTCTTTGTAATTTTACCCTCGATAACTCGAAGTCGATTTTCACTTTTGTGAACTAATGAGCCATAATATTTTACACCGGAAGATTACATTTAATCTTATTTACTTGTGTTTTCATGCTTTTGTTTTGTTTTGCCAATTTTTATATGCTCTTACATTGCTAGAAATCTTTCAATAAAACATGATGTATAGGCATAAAACCTCTTTAATCAAGTGTTTCTGGTCTTTTTGTTCAAAACCCCAATAACTCGAAGTAATTTCAATTTCCCTTGGCAATTCAAGTCACCAGGGTTCAACTGTACATGCAATGCAACAATTGCCGGCTCAACAATTTCGTCTTGTTAAAACCATATCATTTCATTCAGTGAATCGTGCGTATTGGTCGAAATTTTAAGCACACAGTAACCTCTGGTCCTTAAACATAACTTATTTCGAGTTCAAGAATGACTATGTTTCACTCGATTCGCATTGTCAGCTAGATCTTTGAAAAACGAGAAATGAGATAAACTCCTGTCCCCTTCCCATCAAATTGATGGCGCGATAGCTCGATAATGTCTTATTATGTCTGAGAAAATAAAGGTCCATTATATTCTCTTGGCGTGAATCGATTGTAATTCAATAAGGACTATGTAAAAGAAACTTCGAAGTCCTTCGGTACATCTCAAGTGTAGCTATAAAAAGTTTTGGGTGTGTACTCCTTGTTAGGTTTTGCATTTCATAGTTTTGCGAAATTACTTGAATCCAAAGTTATATACGCAACAAAACGCTTGAATTTTGAGAATGCGTTATGTGTCATACTCAGCTCTACTTTACACCCCTCCCCATCCCATCAGGAAGTAACTTCGCGTATGTCGGGGTGGCCGAGTGGTGTAAGGTCGCAGTCGAATCCCACTTGTGAGATAAATAGCATTCTTTCAACAATCCATCTCGAATGTTTCAATTTAGTCAAATTTCGCCAACTCAAAAGAGTTTTTGATTCACACTGTACATACCTCAACCGAGTTCGGGGTCCTTACTTTCGGACCGAGCTATTTCCTCCATCAAGTGCGTGGGCCTGAAATCAGCTCAAATGATTAAAAGGGGAACCCACAGCCAACAGAACGGCCCAAGAAGAGGATGTTAGTAAGATTACCATTTATAAAATCCCAGTGGTGGGTTTGTTCCTAGTTGCGCGAAACGGACGCCCATCGAGATCAAAATGAACCAATTTGAGATTTTCAGTCGTTAGTGCTTTGAATATTAGAAGGAATAAAAAGAAGTGGACCTCGACTTCGTATTCTTCGCCAATCGTTAAAATATATTTTTTAAAAACAATTGGTGATCGATGACGGTAGAATTTGGCAACCACAGCGGCTTTAGTAACTCACAATTAAAAAAAGAAAACAAAGGGGTGTTATTTCACTTACATCTGGGGTGCAATTCGCTCTCCGGAGACTCTCATGACCTAAAAAGTCAAAACAAAAATAAATGTATTGACTGCTGAATAAAAAATGAAATAAATAGGGGCATAGTTACGGCAAACGGCTTGAGTTCTCGTTTCTCTATATGAACGGGAGCTCTGATTTGTCTGGTCTTGCTGGTAATCCTTCTTTTCCCTCCTCCCCCCCCCTTCACTACAAATTCTACGCGTTCAAATAAGAAGCGAAACAGATGACCTACTGACCCCATTTAAGCTCTGCGGCTTTGTTTGAGTTGATGTAAACAGCTGAAACAGGAAGTTGAAATAAAAATAGCCCGCTTGATGTGGTTTTACTGGCATTCTTACTCCAACCACATTGATCTTCTTTTCTTTATTTTTCTGACTTCCTTTTACTTACATCATATTTCTTGATATGCCAACGAAAACATGTGAAAGAGATAAACTACATCAAGACTGCTTGTTCTCTAAACCGGTAAAGTGCGAGAGATTTGTTTACATCCGATCGACTGACCGTGACATTCATTTGTGTCACGCGGGTGGCGGCTTGTCAGATATGGAAATCAAAGAAGCGCTCTTATGTTTTTGAGTCTCTGATGAAAGGCTGTAATTTGCATACATTTTTTTAGTGTCGGTGTTTAGAGTTATGAAAGAAAATGAGCGTCCAATATCGTCGTCACGCTAGTCTATTATTTAAAGTATTAGAAGCACGACAACAATTATCATCTGATAGTCTTGTGAGCCTACGAGCATTTTGAACGGAAGAGTTAAGCCGGGAAAGCCCCTTATATCGCCCTAGTAACGAGAACTATATTATTCAAGTGATGCTTATGTCTTAATTCATTAGCTTGTTGGAGTTAGTCTGAGCTATTGTTAAAAAGGGCCCCGTCTATTCTCAAGGCAAATGGACCAATCATTTGTTAAATAGACAACTACACGTAACAGGTGTCAATCAATTATTGGTGTTTGAACTGGGGTTGGATCTCAAGATCGTGCGTGGTTCCCATCCGTGACATTTTTGCAGAGTTGTTCCACCAGCTGACAGCAAATATATGGAAGATAAACTTCAAGAATTCGCACACGGAAGGGACTGTAACCTGATTAGATCATACACTGTGGTCGCGATATTGGAGTTAATGGCGAACTATTAGAACTTCCTTGTGAATCTAGATTTTTATCCTTGAATTCAAGGTTAAATAGAAAAAAATATTCTCGCCTTTACCGGCGAGAATGGAAAAATCTGAACCAAAGAGCATGGATTGTTTTGCGGCCTCTGCAGAAGCAGAGAGAGACAAGTTGCTAAGTTTGTTTAATACCTCGATACTGAGAGATCTTTTTATGGCCAAAAATTTCCCTATTAGTGAAGAAGGTAAGTGCAGCATGAACTGTTCTTCTACTTCGCCCGAATGTGTGTAAAGCGCGCAATCTTTCATTCAGAAAACAAGATGAAAGTACATTAATATGCAAACATTAGGCTTCATAGATGTCATATCAGTTTCTTGATTCACATCGAGGATAGGAAGGCGAAGAAAAATTCAGTTATTTAACATTGGGCTCAGTATATATCATTGGGATTTGCCACTGCAAAATCCCGAAGGGCTGATAAAAATTATTATGAAATCATCAATTGAGCTTTCTTGACTGCGATGCTCAAGATTTAACTGTATTGGGTCAGAGATCAAGCGGAATTGAAAGCACAACCAAAAACGTGAAGTTGAGTTTCCGACTATTTCGGTCGAGCTGAAACAAGGTCAAATGCATTTATCGAGAGGAAACTTTCTTCTTGATGTAAACATGCCAGGGAAAGGCTATGAAAGGGTGCTGAGAGGTTAAAATTTGTCTCTACGCTTCACTGCTTTTTCGTTTCAGCGCAACAGGAAGTTGTAAGTCACGTGACATCGTGATAGCTCACGCAATATTTTTGCTTGTGACCGGTTTCTTCCGCGTTACTATGTTACGGTTTGTGATTAAAGCAACTGAGTCTAAGTTTTCCATTGCAATCCGTTTCAATCTGCTCCATTAGTAGTCATCCTTAGTCCTATCAGAGTTTTAAATGACCCTTCTGTGTTTTTCTATTCAGTTGCACTAAAATTTCCGTGTTTTCCTCAAGTTTAAGGTATTTTCGCTCAGCTGATGAGACTTTTTAAAAAACTATTGCAGTGAAGCTCATTTTCTTTGGACATATAGTCAACCAATTTTTACAATTTGTGTTACACTTCTTGACCTATAAAGTACTTTAATGTGACCCACTGGAAGCAAAGTGGAAAATCACGCACCCGTCATGATTTGAAAGCATTTCAGCTTTAATCAGCAACTCGGGTTACTATGTACGAAGATTTGTAATATCTGCCGAGTCTTTTCTGTAGAATTGTGGCCAGTATGATGAAGGATGCGTGTCCTAATACCTGCTTCTTCATTTCGAAATGAAGCAAATTTATTCCGAAATGATTATGGATACCAATTCTAATTTATTCGGTGCGAAATGTGTTAAATTTCATACAACATAAGTAATGTGCATTTTGATCGAAACCGCTTCCAGCTATCGCAATTTCTTCTCCAGATCAGCGCTTGTTATATTCTCAGTTCTTTTTTCCGACAATTTCTCTTAAGAATAATGAAAATCCTGTTTGTACATTTGGGCTTTACGGTTAGGGTACGATCAGTTACTCTGCAGACTCACAACCCATTCCATAGTGGATCTTTTGGATTCAGGATTGTTTTTACTTGCCGCAGTTTCGATACTTCTCTTCAGGAAGTTTAGGAAATAATGCATCGACAAAGGGAGTGAAATTCTCCTAATATGGCAGTTCTTTGTGATTTATGAAGAGGAAAACAATGCTGTCCGTGGGAGATCCAGCTAATCGTGCAAACCATCGCTATTATTGCTATCATTATTATTTTTTATTCCTATCCATTTAGATGACCAAGATGGCACTAAAACAGAACCTCAGTCTCCCACCAGCTGCTGTCATATATTTGAGAATCTGGGGCTGGAAGGGGAGGATGTTGAGATCAGGGTGGACTTTCCTGATCTGAAGCTCGTCTACCACAAGACACAGTCCCGTGCTAACCGTCAATCCAGACAACGAGTCGTGAAAGGAAAGATCAAGGTGCGTGTGCTCACTCAAGGTCATCAGGTGCAGACCATTGAGGTTTACGTCGAGAGAACTCCCAATGCCGCACTCCTGGTTGGAGATAAATGCGGCAGAGTGTACCTCAAGTCCCAGCCAGGACCCTACTTTCCAAATAAGGTAAAGAAAAAAGGTTACGTTAGACGTCTACTTCAGGCTGGTGACTGTCACAATTCGTCAAATTGTTTCTGGGGGGTGCGGGGAGAGGGGATCACGTCAAACATAATCATCTGTATGTTTTCTTGGCTTTCTTGTGTGATATTTGATTTTTATTGATATAGTTTCGATACTTAAGCTCGTGACAATATTCCTGAGGCGACTCCGTAAGACCTGTTAAATGAAACAGAAGGGCTAAATGCGGTAATTCATGGTCTAGACTAAACATGATTACGCCTACTTTATTGAGACGAGGGGGAGGTTGATCATTGATTAATCTTCCCTTTCCCATTGCACATGCACATCTGTGTTGTTGTGGCAAGTTAGATTTCGTACAAAGACATAGGCATCTGTATCACGGGAAACGTATGCTGGACACTGATGTGACTTAAGTATTATTTTCGCCTGGCGCTCAAGTAAATGCGTATTCTGGCCTTGCAGTTGATTCAGAGGTGAGTAAATTGTGTTTGCTAATCTTTAGAAAGTGTGGCGTGTCCTTGATAGCGATCATTTTGTTCAAAGCTTTCCCGTCAGAGGTTTACGGTGCAAAGGTAACCTAAAGGTAAAGAGCGAGTTCTGATCTCAAAATTATCAAGGGGTTAAGTTACATGAGGAGAGGAGGAGGAGGGGGGGGGGCGAGGGGGGGGACTGGGAAGGGAGAGCCTAAGAAAAACAGAGAATTCAGAGAGTTTTTAGTAGTGTTTGTCATCGAGTATGTGCCTAAACATTTAGGCAGATTTCGGACCTTCAATAAAAGTAGAGGTAATAACAGAGAAGAGTGCAAATCGTTGTTTCTACAAATCCTACCTTTCGCCCACCAGATATTGACATACGTATTAGAGAAAGAGGCTCAGAGGTCCACCGAGGCTAAACTCTTTCACTCAAAAAAGGGACTGTAGAATATCAATTCGCTTAAAGAAGTCCTTGAATCGCCAATTTAAACCGAGAAAAGGCCTTCGTGCTTTCTCGCCTCTTATGTATTCGTAGACTCAAGTACTCCCGGCCCTCTGTTTTTTACAAAACTACTTCACAGGCCTGCTTATCTGAACATTCTCTCCACAGTATTACTTCACGATTGATTTGGACTCTGTTTACGAGTCTCCAACGAGGCATGGCGTTCCTGTGTACAAGCTGTCTACAGTGGACGCAGAGAGACGAAATAACTTCCGTTTGGTGGTTGTGGTAGTACTAATCGGTGATCACCGCAGTAAGGAGTTCATCAGTCGACCGTTTCGTCTGCGTAGTAAAACAAATGGCAGGTTCAGAAGCTTGTCATTATAGATCATCTAGTTATGTGCTAATTTGTAAATCTCTGGCTGTACTGATAATTTTATGTGAATTCTTCAAGAAATTCAGGTGCTATTGTAGCTCTCTGCCATGAGCTGTAGGATCGCAACCCCAGTATACTTTGAATTTCTTAAAGACTACAGCGAACAGTTGATACCAATTTTGTCATTAACAAACCTTTTGGTTAAAAATCAGAGTGCAGCCAGAGATTTGTGGATCACATAAAAGTATTATCCGTCGAGAAACAAGTCTGTCTTACCGGTTTTCATGAACTGGTTGAGGTGTACGTTAGATATTATATATCGGCTTATATTAAGTTGCAATGAGGTCCACAGAAAATGATTGAACTTTTCATGTGCTTGTACCTGAAAAGTGAAAAGAACTCTAGTAAATATTCTGTCTAACAAAATCAGAACTTCTCCAGAATAACTACCGTCGTTTGAGTTACATTGAATCTCATTCGACGTCAAGGTTTGCTCAGGCCTTGCTTCTACAATAGGAATGAAAATATTAAGGAGCTACTTTACGATCGCATTTTGCATCTCGCAGAGATACCAGAAACTAAAAGCAAGCCACAAAAAAACTACTCATAAAGTTGAAATCTCCAAAAGGGGAAATGTGATAAATTTAAAAGGACCAGAGATGACACTGAAAGGATGGAAGAGATTAAAATGAATTGTGAACTAAAAAATTGAAGAATGCAGACTTAAGTTTTCAAGGAGCAGATATTGTGACCTCTCTTCGGGGAAAGTGCGAGATTGGAAAGAAGTATTTCTGAGGCTGTGAACACTTGCTGTTCTTGAAGATCAAATTGAATTGTAATTTTAAGGTGCACAAAGTATTAATTAATTATCTCTTTCGAGGAGTAAACGAGATCGCAAGGAAGTCGTTTTGAAGGTTGTGAACATATATGCTACTTGAATTAAGCAACAAGATTCTCCTCTTCGAATGTTTTATTTGTGGTTTTTGACGTTCTTCCTAACGGTATAGTTAGTTACTTGCGTAACTCTATAGAGCAACAAAGATTTTAAAAAATTACGTAGTTACAGAGTAGGTATTAGCACATGGAAAGTTCGACATTTAAGGATCCAATGCCTTTTTTCCAAAGACTACTGCTGTGCAGTGCATTTTTGCGTCTAATGATTAACGAGCCAAGTTTGATTTCTTTGGTGATTAGTTGTTTGCAATTTAGGACTATGGATTAAGAGTAACTATCTTGTCATTTTTTGAGGTCTAGTTATGGATAATTTTTCCTCTCCCAAGACATAAAGTTTTGGAAAAGTTTAGGTACTACCATATCAGTAAGCAACCTATATAGCATAAACCTTTTATAATTATTGAAATGTTCTAGTGTAGCTTTGATACCTGCTGATCACTCCAGCTATGCTCCTGTTAAGTCATGAGTAATCATTATAGTGTAGTTTTCCTGTATCCATTTAGAGCAATTTTCAATCGAGTGTCGAAAGGAGCACGGTATTGCTATGCTTTTACTTAACTTTGCTCTGTGATTCGTACAAAAAACTTGGTCATCCTCTCAACTAATCAGATTCAAAGCTCAAAACAATTGCAGCCTGGTAACTCGCGTGTTCCCGCGCTTCAAGCAAGTTTTCCAGTTTGAGTTCTCATTGGCTTAGTACTTTGGAAACCTTTGTTCTGATTGGTCCCTGGGACTGCTATAGTTTTAGTTTTTCGACGTTCCACTTAAAACTGCTCTAATTACGTTATTAGGATCAAGTATTTTACGCGCTTCGTATGCGAAACAGATAATTGTCTAGCAATAATACCCCATGCATATTTCATGGTCTTTTGCCTTCAGCTTCAATAGGATTACAATCACTTAATTGAACTGTGGAAGGACGTTATGCGAGCGATGTCAATTTCTAGACTCTTCACGCCCTTTTCTAAAGAAAATGCTTGTTTTTTACTTTTTGCCAAATAAAATCTTTTAAATTTTATTTCTTTCACTATCTGTTCTGATTTAGCACCGCGTTACTGATTACTTTGCTCTCAAGCTCCGTACTCTTACCTCTCGAAAAGAATGAGGTTCAGCCGTAACTAACAGTGCGGACGGAGGAAACGAGGCTAGGCGCGAAGATTTCAATTCAAATAAACGTTTGAATTTAATGAATATAGCCCGTTTAATTGACCAATCATAGTGCACGTATTAACTGAGAGCAAGAGAAAATATTGTCCCATTATTGAGAGATGTCACTGTTGGTGTCTCTTCGCTTTTGTACGCATATTTCTCTACAAGATTAAGAACTACCGCAAATGTCTTTGGAGACGTCCAAAGTTTACCAACTGCCGTAGATACTTGGCACTGTTACAGCTGGAGCAAAACATAAACTTGCTAATTGTCCTCCACTGGCTTTGCTCGGAGATAAATAGCAAAAGATATTCGGAGTTTGATAAGCCAATCAAGGCGCGCCTTCAACGCTATCCGCCGTTTTGTTATATACTAATTCCGGCTAGTAATAAGATGCGTTTCTTGTATTCAATTTCTTTGGCTTACAAAGTCACAGTAATTTGCGCTCCAGAAAAGTACAAGGGTTATTTGTTCTTGTCAAGAATGGGGGCATGATTTACACGTATTAACGTTTTATGAATCGTTCACTCCTAATGCCCAGCTTTCTAGTTAGCTGTTCACTTTCCCAAAAGCAACACCGCCCGAGTATCTACCTGAAGGCAAGATTTTCTAATTTATTGATCTAGTGAGGATAAATTAAATTTGAAACTGGACACACAAGCTCTCGGCTAGACGAAGAAAGACAGTGTTACCCAACTCCTTACTTAAAAAGAACAACAAGATAAAAGAAAATCTTGACGACAATAACAACAATATTGCCCCCTCAAAATCCTTCTAACTGCCCTGTCGAAAAAAACGGATCCTTTCCTTTGCTATCAAAACAACCTTCAAGTCACAACCCCACCCCACCCCCCCTCCTTTTCACCCAATCACCCATTCCTTGTTCGATTGGTCAGCGGTTCAAAACAGCGACTCTCCATCTACAGACGCGAAACTCGCGAAATTTCATTCACAGACAAACTTGTTTGTTAATGGGAACTGTTTTTAGTTGTAGATAGCTCTCGCTATTGCCTGAGCAAGGCAAATGTCAAAGTTCCAAGAGCTTAAGAGGGAGCTTAGTATCCTGGAAAAAACCTTTGGCCCACGGCACGAACATTTCCGCGTTGAAGCCAACGGCTTGGACGAAGTGACGTGCCGATTCCTCGCAACAAATGGCGAACATGTAGTCCACTGCAATATCTTTGTGAGTAAGCTTTGACTAAATGTTACGATCGATAGAATCGTACATCCTTTAAAGAATATGTTAAAGCTGCTCTAATTTTATTTATGCCGTTGGTTAAACAGGAATCCTATCCTAACCCACCTCCGATGTGGTTTGCTGAAAGCGAAGATGCGAAAATCGCGCAGATACTCGAATTCTTAAGTAGTATTGAGCCTTCAGCACCCAATTTGGTAAGATGAGTTCACTTGTTCTTTAATTTCGATGAAATTTTCCCGCATAATTTTGAAGAATGGCCTTACGTAACTGATGTAGTCTTTTTTCTATATGTCAGCTTCTTCGATCAACAAAATACTTGGCGAAGGAGTTGTATAAATGGCAAGACCTTCCTGTACCATCGCACATAGACAACCTTGATCTTGTACAGCTCATACACGTAAGTTCATTTAACTGATGTTCATAACTTTCCAATCGTTTTGGCTCAAGAAGAAGGGATGTCCTTTCATTTCACCCATTGACCACGACAGCACCTAATTTTTCTTTCAGTTTTTAATTAGTTGCAATCATGTCGAGACATCGCATGATTATTCCTGTGGTTACGTCAAATTTTTAAAGGGTATTTATGTTCAGAGGGTCTCAACCGGAAGTGGACCTGTAAGCTGATGATGTCGATGGAGTAAGACGAGATCCTGTAATAATTAATACAACGAAAGTGTCCTCTAAAAAGTGAGGTGAATGAACCGAGAAAGTTCTCTATTCCGTTGGAATTATGAGAGCGTTCGGTGGCTGCTAATTAGCATGTATGAAATTTGTTGCTTGTTTACATCTTGGATTTCTTTACCCCTGTTTGACATTGCAACGCGATGCTGCAATGTGATGCTGCTTGTGATTTCCTCTGTCTTCTTAACCACTCACACTAAAAATTTTCCTGAGAAATATTTACGTGGTGAAGTTCCTTATCCAGTACCAAACCTGGTCTAAATAGAATTGTTGTTCAATTTTTGTACAGTGGAAAACAATCACTCTATCAATCACTGCTGATGCTTTTTGAAGAGAATATTACAAGTACTGTAGTTTCTGCAACATTGACTGAACAATCACCTAAAGCTGCACTTTAAGATTTCACTTGCAGACACCTAACAGACATGTTTGTCTTGGCTGTACACTTAGAAATTAGTTTGTTTCGTAATTTTTTTTTGGATGCAGTGCAATTGGGAATATATTTATAGTATATCGGACAAAAACCATGTTCTCGTCAACAACAAATGTGTTGAATGTGTCATGCTGTCCAAACTAAATTGTTTCGTCTTGACTTTTCAGGAAGATGTTGAGGTAAAGGAGTCAACAACATCCCAAGAAGATGAGGAAAGTGAGGATGAAGGTTTAGAAGAGGTATAAAATGTTGTGTTTAATTCTGTACATGCACATACACAAGTATAGTGGGTATGTAATCCCTTAGGCAGACTGCATAGGAATCATTGTCTCTTTCATTTTTGGGCTCTTTGGCACAACCTTCTTAAACAGAAATTTACAAAAACGATATTCTTCATCATGGGAGAATTAGAAAAACCAACTTATACACATGGTTGGTACATAGTTTCAGATTCCTGAAATATCTGTAAATTCCACTAAGTAGGTATGCTCAGGAAAAAATATGATTAGTTATTGAAAAATGGGAAGAAACCTTCAATTTTTTCTGAGTGGGAACAAATGAGGGAAATTTTTGTGAGATACACTTCTAACTGAAACTTGCCTAGATTAGAAGATAAGCAAATAAGGGCCCATTCCCAAGGCCATGATGGAAAACAAGCATCCACCTCAAATGACCATCCCCTTTAACTCCTAACTCTCTTGAATGAGTATGGATACAAGGAAGACCTGTTTCTGTTGCCAGCTTATTTATAACTGTTTAAGCTTCCACTACTGCTTAATCAGGACAGGAGATATCCAGTTATTACTCCATATTGACTAAATATGTCTACATTATGTTGTTGTAGTTTTTGTTGTTTCTTGTTTTTATTACTTTCAAAAATATTTAGCCAAATTGAAGTTACAATTCATGGATAGGAAAACTTAACAGGTCCCCCCCCTGCCTTGCTTTACCATCCTCCTTCCAATAAGCACCCCCCCCTTTTTAGCAAAAACTCTGAATAAAATTTGGTATTTTAAAACAGTATTCAAATTGTTATGTCACTATATCTAATCTTGTAAAGTTCTGAGTTTTTATAGTAACTACTGATATATGCATATGCTTTCCAAATGAGGAAGATGAATTTAATGTTCAATTTTGGGATTTTTTTTTTAATTGATCCAGGGTCATGATGATAGTGAGGATTCTGATAATTATGAAATGGAAGAAGATACAGAGTGAGTATTGTGTAGTACACTTAACTTGTGCTGGATGTGGTTAGACTTTTTTCTTTTTCTTTTCATTTTTATTTGTCAAGTCTTGTGGCAAAGCGTTTATTGTAATCATTGTTGATAAATGTTTGATGTAATTATTATTGTGATGTGCTTTTTTTAAACAGACAAGACTCTAACAAAGAGTTGCAGGAAATTGGTGCAGCAAATTATGCAGTATTGGAAAGGATACGAGTGAATAGAAGGGAAGACCACCTTAAGGTTGGTTTGATTAGAAAATAATGATATTTACTCAAGGCAAGAAACTTTTTTTTCAACTCACCTGTCCCTTTGGACAAGTTCTGGGTTTATTTTACTTTTCCAGATCTCCAGCATACCTGTACATGTACTTGTCTGAAAAGACCTTAAATAAAAAACTATTAGGTATGAAGTGGGTTTCGCTTGAAAATCAATGGCCACACAAAAGGATATTTATTTTACTACCTGTAAGTGGTACTTATCTTTATGGACGGCAAGCTATGTAATACATTTATATATATTATTTTCATGTCCAAAGTCAGGACTACATGTTTACGTGTTTTGTTATTAACTTCATCCAGGGGACAGTGAGCGGATCTATTCAAGCTACTGACAGATTAATGAAAGAACTTCGAGATGTGTATAGATCTGAGAGTTTCAAGACAGGTTTGTTTTACTTTTTTTTGAATATTTTTTCCTTTTTTTTTAATAATTAATAGCACTGTAACAAAATGTTTCAGTCAGTAACTCCATTATTCTTTAATATTGACTCAAGTAACTTTTTTACAATTCCTAATGCAGTTAAGGTATACAATCATGTAACAAAAATATTGACAATAATAATGATAATAAAAAACAGCAACAGAAATAATCATTATCATAATGATGATAAAAATAACAATAATTATAACAGTTATTATTACAGGTATATAATTACAACAGTTTTAATAATTAAAACAATTTTTATCTTTATTTTCTCTATTGATGATATTCCGTGTGCATGTACAAGTCATGTATCTGGATTTCAAGTACATGTATGCGTGCAGTGGTTATGACAGAAACTAACAGGATGAAATCCTTTTTTCTTTTGCTTGATTGTGAAGATACATGTACTTATTGTTAAAAATTACATTTTCCTTTAAGGAACATATTCTGTGTGCCTCAATGATGACAACTTATATGACTGGACAATAAAAATTATAAGGTGTGTAGGCTCAATAATTTATTTAACAAGGCATGTACTACTGTACATGTAACTGATCATGAATGTGTATTTCAATTTTTAGTTTTAGTTGAATTCATGTATTGTAGTTCAATTATTTTCTTTTTTTATGAAAGTTTTCAATTGAAACCAGTTATTAAAGGAAAGGAAATTAAACTTTGAAACTTGTTTCAACATTTATTTTCATTTTTTAGACTTTGATGATAAAACAAGAATTTAGATATTAGGATTAAATTTACTTTGAGAAAGGTCCAAAACATTAATGCTCATGAACAAGAACTCTTTTTCTATAATAATTATTACTTTACAGTAGGGCATTGAAAAATAAAAACTGAAAAACAGAGACAAAAAAATGATCTGAACAATCACACAGTCAAGTATAAATCCATATTAAATTGCCAAAATCTCTATTGCAGCTGGAAAAATGCACCATGCTGCAAACAAAGTGATAAGAATGATTATGAGGTTAAACAAATCAAACCAGTGTGAGAAAAACAGAATCAAGAACTTTCAACTATTAGATAACTGAGGAACTGATAATTTTTTCGCAATATAGAGTTGACCCAGACAGTACATTACATAAAGATCTAATGCAGCTTAGAGGGCAAGAGGGTACAGATCATGTGTCGTTAAACATGACTTTTACAGTAAGTATTGTAATGTTTAGAATATTAATCTTGTAAATATGTAATTACCTCTCCATAAGCAAAATATTTGACATTATTACATAGCAGGACAGGGGAAAAATAGGAGATAAAATTTGGTAAAAACATCTTTCACAAATTACATAGGTCAGAATTCACCTTCACCGCTGACTCTTTTTTGAGTACAATATCATTTTCAATATGCAGGCCAAGGCTTATATGCAACAATATACTTAAAGTACAGGAATTGTTTTGCAACAAATATTCCAGTTGTCCAGTCTTGCTTCTTCCTTTCCTCCATGGTCTTTCTGGGTGTACAGTAGCTTTTGGCAATTTTATACAACTACATTTATCTAGAAGGAGCCTTAATTTTTTAACTAAAGGATTTGAGGTAGATACATATCAATGTAACTGACTGTTTTTTCAGGACAAGTTTCCATTTGATCCCCCATTTGTCAGAGTCATTTATCCAGTATTAACAGCAGGGTAAGTCCAATATTGGGGACAATTATCAGTATTTAGGAATAATAATTATTGCATTTTTACATGTACAGTTTTTAAGTATATCCTTTTCATGTTAAGGTTGATGGTGATGCAATTTAGGCATTCTTATTCTAAACACATCAAAACTTACTAGATGTATCTCACAGTTATTTAATAAACCAACATGTGTGTAGTTAAATGACCATCTGAAAATCAAAAACTGCAGTATTATTTAAGCTCAACTGGTGGGTTAAAAATGAATATTTTGATACAGGATGTGTTGGAAATATTCATGAGTACTTTACATGCACAGGGGGTAACATTTATCAGAGGGTCTTAGAATGCAACAAAGGAACAATGACTAATCCGTCTTTAGTTAAACAACATACATCTGTACATGTAGCTAACCCAGCAATTCTGAGTGTCACCTAAAGGCACTTATAACTGTACTATAACTGTACAAGTACATAATTCTACAAAATCACTGATGTAGTTGAATTTCAACAATATGTTGACAAAAGGAGATAAATTACCATCTGGTTGTGAATTTTACTACCTTTGAGAAAGTGACTCAACCCTTTGTTTTAGAAAAGTGTTTGAATCGAAAAAGGAGTAAATACCTGTGACAAAACATCATTGCCTGCCAGTGCTGCCCAACAGTTTCTTTTGATAAGATAGTTTAATGATTTAACTGCTCTACTGGCTTGGTTTGCTGCTCTTTGGAGCTTACTGATGTACATTATGTCTCTTTTTTCCAACAGTTATGTACTCAGTGGGGGAGCCCTTTGCATGGAACTGCTCACACCCCAGGTTTGTAATCTGGCATCAAAATGAATTCAGTTAAGCAGAATGTTGTTGATTTTATGGCATGTTTTAGGATGTATTTTCTCTCTACCATTATAAATATAGTAATTAAACTTGAAACAATATGAGATGCTGTACATGTATGAATGATTACACAACTTAACACTGTACATGCAGGTGTAACAAGTGTGCATTTATGAACAGTCAAACCTCTCTAATATGGTTTACTGAAGGAATAAAGGAAGGTGTCTGTGGAAAAGAGGTGCCATAAACTGTGAAGTGCATCAGATTCTTTTGTTGGCCCTTGTTTCCTTTTAAGGCTTTGCCTTCAGCACATGGAATATGGGATTGATGTGCTTCTGAGATAAGGCCATATCATGTGTTTTGAGCTAAATTGCTAGAAATACTAGATGAAGGTGAAATGATACATCCCTTATTCAATATGTGTAACAAAGAATAATTAAAAAATTTGCATCTATTACAAGTATATGTCAAACCATTTATTAAGTTGTATGTATAACATTACACAGTAGCAAGATTTTGTGTTCTTGTTACAGGGTTGGAGTAGTGCATACACTGTTGAGGCTGTTATAATGCAAATTGCTGCTACATTAGTGAAAGGAAAAGCAAGAATAAACTTCCAAGAAAACAAAAAGGTGGGTTGTTGATTCTTGGCAAACGAATTCACTACCAGATAAGTTACAGGCTAGTTAGTGATTGAAAAAAAAATTTTAAGTTTGGAGAATGTGTCTCGACATCAGTGATGTCATCTTCAGTTACATGTGCTTGTGCTACAAATAATTGAATATACAATGGATACATTAAGGAATTGCTACACACATGTACATGTAAGATTTTGCTTTACAGATTTGTAAACTATTTGAATAGAAATAAAGCAATACTAATGTAGTGAAGTAAAATAATATTATTATAACAATAAATATATGATAAAATAAGAATTAACTAAAAAGTTCATAAATAAATTTTGCAACTTTTGGTTTAGAGTCGGATTCTCCCAGTATTTTACATTAAGCCTCTTCAAAAGTATATCTTTATCTTTTATTGTTTATTTCTCATTTGCAAAAATGTGGTAGATGAATATGTGGTAGAAGGAAAGCACAATTTGTTTTGTCTTTCACTAACAGCCAGGGGTCTACAGTCTAGTTCGAGCTCAACAGTCTTTCAGGTCTTTGGTCCAGATCCATGAGAAAAATGGTAAGAGATATGAATTATCAATTATTTTAGGTATTCTAGGAGGTTACTTCTTACTTCCAAAAGCTGGAGTGGCATTGAAAGGGTCAAGACTCACCAGCTACAATTTGTTTTGCTTTAATGAGAAATTCTCATTACCAATTTTACCCAAAAATTTGTAGCAGCTTGAAAAAGAAATAATGAAATAAGTTCTTGAGAGTTTGGAGGTATAACTAGTAATTTTGAATGACCACTTTGTCTCAATGGCATCATTAAATGTCACTACTAGACTGTAATCAGCTCCAAACTCTCATCACAATATTTTCTCTCCTCCCAGGTTGGTACACTCCACCTAAACATGAAGGATGAAAGGCTTCAATGTTTGTGATTTATCTTATAGAATACATGATGTCTTTTGATGTCTGTCTACACGCCATATTTTTATGAAACCTCAGCCAAATTATAATTAATATGTACAGTAGAAGTAAAGCGTTATCAAAATGGTAGTTGTGACAATTATGTCTTCTTTTTTCCTTTCTTACTTAAATGAAGTTGTATTCAACTTGTTCTGCATGTGCATGTCCCATGGCAACTGATTTACATTACATTATTTAGTTCATAATGTGGATCAATTTAATGTAATGACATGGAACTTAAAGGCAAGGCATGATGTTAAGCTGACATTACATGTGTGAAGCAGATGCCAATAATTTGTTTCATGTCCCCTCCTTTGTCATACCTTTTGGTCTTTGAGGAGTGGTACATCTACGTGTTTATCCTCGATGCCCACTGTCTCTGAGGAGTGGTACATGTACTTGCTTGTCCTCAATGCCCACTGTCTCAGAGGAAGGGTGCATTTATGTACATATCCTCAATGCTCAGTGTCTGAGGAGTAGTGAATGTACCTCTTTATCCTCCATAGTCATGTACATTGTTACTTAGTTGTAGAGTTTTGTCTCGAAAAAATTCATCGAAAGTCCATGAATTGCTATGCAACCATACTTGTACATGCCATCTGCCTTACACATCAGCGTCTCTGCAATGCGCTGTTGTTTTGATTGGAGTAGCAATGATTAGAAGAAGCCCAGCATAGGTAATTTCTTAACTTGAAAGAAATCCATATAGAATGTTGTAGTGATAATGTACTAGTTTGGGAATTATAGGTAATTTGTTGAAGTTTAGCATAAACTATGTAGAAAAAATAGCCTGGTACTTTATGTATTACTTAAAGATTTTTCCTTTCTATTCTATTCTTATAACTATTCAAAGCTGGGTTGTCATTTTTTTCTTTGGTTATGGCACCTTTACTGAAACTGCAGTCAAGGCAAAAATGATTCCACTAACGTGTACATGGCAGAGTTTTTTTTTTCTTTGGGGACTGGTCTTTAGGGTACGTCAGTTATTGCCTTTCTTTCTTTTGGAAATCGCACTGTTTTGAAAAAGTTTGCCATTCATCAAAAATACATTAGGAAAATGAAATTCTCCAAAACACATTCCAAGAGAGCCCCCCCCCCTTTCAGGTCAGTGGGGCAGATGGGGAGGTCAGTGCCAAAGGTTTTGTCTTTCTAATGTTTTTCCCTATTGCTACCGCACATGTTTTGCGTGCAGCTGGGAGCAGTTGCATGATGCACGTGTATTTATAAAACAAGTACATTCTCGTTTTGATAGAAAAATCAGAATCGACTCCACGGTAGAGAATACAATGTGTAACTTAGAATAGAGCACTACAGTCTCCTAGCTTTTTGCAAATGGAGAGAGAAGTGTTTTCTGTTAACCTAGAAAGCAGGATATGTATACGCGTACACAGTGCTAGGAAAAGCAAACGGGGAGGGGGGAGGTCTTGAGGGTCCAGTTAGAGGGAGCTGTAGTAAAATTGTGGCTAGAGTGCAAATCCCACTCCCTCCCCTTCCCAATTCACCCTTGAGTATTTTTCACTAAAAGTAGATGGAGAGATGGGAGAATTTTGGTTGATTTTGAAATATTTTCTTTAGATTTCAGTTTCATTTATTGTCATGGCAGTTGATAATTTTCGTAGTTCTGTTACTAGAAGTCTCTTCTAGAGCTTTGAATTTGCTAGCTTTCCAGGTTGTTGGTTGCTGTTAGTCGTATAGTAAGTATTGTACATAGTGCCACCTTTGCTGGTGAAGAATAAAAGGGATATTTTATTATCTTACCTTGTTGTTCCCCTCAATCTCTTTACATCCTAATATTGGCATTCATATTCTCCACACTGTTCTCTTTACATTTGCTCTGGTACTTATAAGGAGACTTTGTTAGACTGTCAGGAGCTTCCTAGATTGATGATCATTTTCCTTTATTCTCGTTACCTTAGCAGTTGATTCAGGGGTGATACTGTAAGGAGAAATGACAGGCCAGTCACTCATAGAGAGGACCTGAAAAATGTAATCAATGGTTATGGTCAAATCTGTGGTGTTTATGCTTAAATAAACACTGACACTTTGGATGCAAACACAACGATATTTAATCAACATGCAATACGATACCCCGACTACAGAAAAAACTCCTTTTCTTTTGGACCACGTGCGCATCCCGAACAATGTGATTGACAGCTGTCAGAAACACTACATCTCTCCCCTTCTTGATTATAAACTTGGATATGTGTATATCTAAAAGATCGACTTGAACAACTTATCTCTAATAGCTAAAAACGATAAACTGGAACGTGTTTAATTGTCACAAAGTTCAATTGCTTGCTTCGATTGTCTAGTTCTATCGCACAAGTACGACAAAGTCTTTCAGTTTTACAAGAAGCCTTGTTTGCCTTTGAGATCGCCGCTGGGCTGTAGTTGAGCTAAGAGAACTTTACTATCCTACACCAACAATCTTCCAAGTCCGACGGGGCTCGCGTCGACTATCACTTCAGTCAGAGTCTTGGGTTAAAGTATGACATCTGATCACGTGATTCTTGGTCAATCTATCTTTCAACTTGTCGAATGCTCGTTGCTGTTCGTCGGCCCACTACCATGACGTGTCTTTCTTGGTTAACAGCCGTAAAGGAGCAATTATCGTGGCCTAGTCTGGGATGTAACGAGCCATCCCCAGTAGAGACCACCTCGCTGACACTTTCTGGTTTGCTCATGTCCATATCGCCTTGATCTTCAGGCTGGGTCTGCCTTGACTCCGTTCTTGCTGAAAATCTGTCCGTAGAACTTGATCTCACTCCTCGAGAAGGCGCATACTTGTTGTTCAGGCGCACGCCATGTTGCTGGAGCCGTTTCAGTACGCCACGGAGGTTCTCATCATGTTTCTTCTGAGTTTTTCCATAAACGGTAATATCGTCAAAGATATTCTTGCATCCAGGGAGGCCTGTGAGTATTTCCTCGATTGCGTTCTGCAAGATCTCGGGTGCTGCGTTAATTCCAAACATGAGGCGCTTGTATCTTCGGAGTCCGACGTGTGTGCTGAATGTAGTAATGCAGCGGCTTTCTGGTGCCAGCTCCAGTTGGTGGTATCCAGACGAAAGGTCTAACTTGCTGAAAACTGTCGCTCCGTTGAGGTCAGCAACCAGATCGTCTATAGTCGGCATCAGGTGTTTAACAGCCTTGTTGGCCTCTCGCATGTCTACACATATTCTCACTTGACCAGACCTCTTGGGGACTATGACAATAAGGCTCACTCAAGGCGTTGGGCCTGTCACGGTCTCGATGATGTCTAGCTCTTCTAATCGCTTTAACTCCATCTCGACATCCTTTCTGACTTGGAAGGAAATTCGACGGTGCGGTTGTTGCTTGGATATGACGTCAGGGTCAATGTGAAGCTTGATGACTTTTCCTTTTACTTTGCTGATTCCACCGAAGAGGCTTTCTAAATCTCTGAGTAATGGGTGACTGGGGACAGGTCTCGTCAGGTTTGACTTGGTTGATGATCTTGAGCACGCCAAGTTCTGTAGCATTGTTAAAACCCAGGAGATTTCCTGAAGCACCTTTGCCGGAATGCAGGGTCGACCATGTGCGGTTGGTGCTAACGAATATTTCGGCCTCAATAGTTCCCAGAACAGGTAGAGGTGTGGGTGATCCGTAGGAGAAAATTCTGCGTTTGTTGGCTTCTGGTACCTTCCGTTTGTATAACTCCCTGTAGGTGCGTTCGTCCATAAGATTGACCGATGCGCCAGGGTCGACCATCATTTCCATTTTTTCCCATCAATTTTGACTTTGCAAGTTTGTTGCTTGTCACCGCCTACCGTGTAAACATATTCGTCATTTTCAGCCGTGTCTTCAAACGTGACGTGTTTTGCTGACTCAGGTGGATTTGTTCTGCAAACACGGGCAAAATGGTTTAGTTTGCCACAGGATTTGCACTTCTTGTTTTTCGCAGGGCATGAGTCTTTGTGGGGGTATGGTCCCCCACAGTTCCTACATTTACCATCGTCTTCTCGGGAGTTGCTGCGATTGCGTGACTCGTAGCGAGTGCGTAACTCCTGGCGATTTTGATGGCGCTGTTTCACTTTGTTATGTGTTGAGGTTCCTTTCTTGTTAAACTTTGACGCGTTTACGGTTTGATCGTGATTCTCCAACTCCTTTGCTTGTAATTCGTTTCATTCTATTCCGTTCTAATTCTTAATTCTACCAGCTTTCATGAGGCCAGATAAGTCGAGGTCTTCTCGCAGAGCTTTGTGCCGTAGGGAATTTGACTCACAGTTCAAGATGATCTGTTCTTTGATTTCTTTGTCTGGGTTTGCGGAATCGCAGGTCTTCGCTAGGCTTCTCAGATGTGTGTGGAAACAGTGGAGGGTTTCTCAATCCTTTTTCTTGGCCTGCTGGAAATTGTACACTTCGTATGTTACTTTGACTTGCAGAGAGAAGTGAGCGGTTTGTTTCCCGACGGCTTTTTTGTAATCTTTGTCTTCACCGACGTCTTGAAGCGTGTCGATCTCGTCGACCTCTGGACCGCCGTAGTGCAGCAAAAGGGCCCCTTTTTTGCTTGTCATCGGAAATTCCCATTCGAATGGTTAATCTCTCGAATCGTTCTAGCCATTTCTTCCATCTCAGGCCTGCAGTTCCATCGAGGTGAACTTCAAACGTTGGGAAGTTTGGTAGAGAAATTGCCATAATGTTTTCGCGCGAAAATGCTCCGGAAATCTCTTTGGAAATCGCTTGGAAATCCCTTTAGATCCTTTTGGAGTGCTCTCTGTGTGTTCTATGCTTGATTCCCGTCGCCAGATGTGGCGTTTATGCTAAAATAAACACTGAAACCTTGGATGCAAACACAACAATATCTAATCATCATGCGAGACGATACCCCGACTACAGAAAAAACTCCAATTTTTTTGGACCGCGTGCGCATTCCGAACAATGTGATTGATAGCTGTCAGAAACACTACAAAATCCACGGGCGAGCAATGTCGACCAATTCAAATAGGATGCAATCAGATCAAGCTTTAAAGGAAAACACTTAATCGTCGATCTTGTCTGTTTATTTAAGTTTTAAAACAAACTAGTTACAAAAATTTACTCCTGGTAACATCCCTCAGTTAAGTCATACTCTTTGATGCTTGAGGCATTTGTCTTCACTTCGCAATTCATAAAATTAAGGACATCAGTAAGTAAGGCTATGTAAAGTATATAATCTATTGCAACCGCTACGCGAGCTTCACACTGTCTCTTGAAATATTGTTTTAATCTGCAACCCTTTAAATGCACTTTATTTATTTTCCTCTTTTCCTAACGCTAAAAATGTTGTCGACGGTTTTTTTTTATTGAACATTCCACGGTGCAGTGGAGGTAAAAAGAGAGTAGCTTCAAATTCGCTAATGATCATAAATGTGATTATGTTGGTAATTTCATGGTATATATTTCTATAATTTTAAAAGTTACGGCTTACACTTCAAACAAGCAGGGACGTATCCGTGGAACAATTATCCTGCAATTTTTTCTAAACTTTTGCCCCGGACTATGAATATAAGTTTGGAAAATCAAACGACAAATCGCAGACTACAGTTTGTACTAATAAATTAGATTCATCTAACAAAAGCAAGTTCCCTTGTTACTACACAACCATCTTTCTCTTGGAAACGTTTTAATTTAAACACTAATCACTTAAGTAGCTGGTCATTTTCGGGTTTTGTCTCAGTGTTGGAGGCATCGCTTTCATAAGTCTTTATTCGGATCAAAGTAAGGAGAGTCCCTCGTCATCATTTCTTCCATTCTTGTTACCAGCTGTTTAAATGATGGTCTCTCCTCTGGGTCTGCCTTCCAACAGTCTAACATCAACTGGTATCTGATTAGATATAAAGTATTCTGATCAATGTTGGAGGGATTAGTTCCTTAGTGACATCTGCATTGTCTTGTTGACTGTTCGTCAAGAAACTTGTAACTAAACTGCAGGTAGAAAATTGCAATCAATTTAAGTTCGCCTCTGGCCCTAAAACGATGTATAGGGTCAGAGCGCTTTCACTAAATACATACTCTAAAACAAACCTGATAAGATCCATATCTTGTACCGGCATTTTGGCCAGATCGTTACTACGATGACGATGATATCATAAAGAATTACCCGCTACCTAGTTCAGTATAAATAATTTTTAATTTACCGTTCAAGACACTTATTAGGTCTACATCTTTTTGTACGTTTTGGCCACATCGTTGTCAAAATAATTACGATATCACAAAAAAAAGATTGTTCGCTATCTAGTTCTTTTTTTATCCCGATCATGGTACTCTGTTATGTGATTAAATAAGATACGAGGGACGAAGCATATATTGAAGAAATGAAGAATTCTAATTGAAAGAGCTTTCAGTTTCATGCATAGAATTTGGCCTCTCACTCCCTAAGTATAACTATCTCACTTCTCATAAAACCTGACTAAAATAACAGTGTCTATATTAGTATCACTGATGCTGAATTGAACATTTTATTAAGACCTCACAAATAACCTTAAAGAGAATTAAATCAGTGGAAATAGCTAAGAAGAACGTTTCTTGGTTTGTTACTTTAGAATAAAATTATAGATACGTCAATTATCTAAGGTCACTATCAACAAAATCTGGTCAAAATTTTACAAACTTTCGCTTTTTTAGGTAGAGAAATTATTTAGATGTAATTTGCCGTAATAAATGTAAACTCTTAAAAAGAACGCGAGATACGACTGAAAGATCTTTTTAGGGAAACCTGTACAAAAGAGTGAAAGGTGTCAGAATCAGATTGTTGACGTTTGCCGCGGACCTTCGTCTAGGATCATGATTTGCATGAAATTAAGTTTTCCTTTTCCCCTAGCTTGCTTTGCCCACTTTTCCTCCTGCTTTTCCTGATGAATTTTGGATTTCGTTCAATTCCTATTCCTCGTTCGCGAAATGACTTTTCCCGCGAATTTCAAAGGAGGTCTTTGTCATGAGACTTTCAGGGGGGTTCAATGTTGTGTTTTATAGGTAGGGGGCAAGACCGCACTTACACGCGCTTAAGTGAAGAGCGAAACTGTGAATTTCTTTGGAGGCCAAAACCTCAGTTTGTTTTTACGGGAGTTACCTCGACTTAAACGAATTATCAGGGTATGTAGATTTGTTGGATTTTCATGAATTTTGCCAAAATGTTCATCAGGTATTAGCGTGCAAAACTGTGTGAGGCCTCGACGAAATTCGAAATATTTCTCTCCTTATGTCCCGAAGAGTGACAACAACCAGAATAATTTCTGAGGTCCAACTTCAGAGAAGATTTTCTCAGGATCTAGTAGGATTATCTGAAAAGCCCCACACACTATTATCTGATACTGTCCAGTTTGTTTCGAGGTCCGCGGTAACACAAAGGCTGATAATTCAGTAAAGCAAACACCCTCAGTGTTGTGTTAGAAGGCTCGCACAACTACCAAAACAAGAACTGTGAAAATTTTTGTTGTTTCCATAATCTGTATTTTATAAGCTTTACAGCGATATAGAGTTTGCTATGGTTTCTATAAAAGTAGCGCGCGAAGGAGGATTTTCCGGAAGGCACCCTATTTTGTTGATGCAACAGTAACCTTAAACAAGTGAGAAGTACTGTTGAACGTACAGCTCATCAGAACATATTGCTGGCTTTTCCATTCGATATCCTGACTTAAGCAGTTTGTACATCTCTCTGTTGGTTATTCCAGGGTAGGGGATGCCACCTTAAAAACAGGTTAGATTAGAAGACGGAAAAAATTGTAGTTAAGATCATTTTTATCAAAACCAGAATAAGTTGAAGTTTTGTGTTTCAGGGGGGTGACAAATAACAAGTGACCTGTTCCTCAGCATTCAGTTACTGAAAGCCTCCCTTTAAACTCCCTCTGTTTTAGACATAAAATATCAGAACAACACAATCTAACGTCTCCCGTATTGAAAGGTAGTTATTGATTTAAGTACTGTCTCAATCCCCCTTTTGTAAGACACTTAATTGAAGTAGGCAAAATGATCTTTAGCAGCTGTAACGGATTAAAAACTGAAAAAACACAAACAAACAAAACAACATGCACTACAAGGTAGGAGCCTCTCTCGGCGTCTGAAAACTACTTCGGATCCTGCCTTTTAGGTCTGCTACAGATGGGTTTTATCCGTTGAGATGAAAAGTGCCAAGAGTAATTGTTCTGTTATTTTAGATCTGGCTTTTACTCGCGCTTACAAGGCTATTTTTGAAGCAATAAAGAATAGGGAAATTAGTAGTAACTTAGCATTACTAAGCTGACGCATCTTTCTTTCATTGAAATGCAGACTGTTTGCTATCTATAATGACAGGCGGAGATCAAACCACTGCTGTGGTGGATCAGTCATTACTCACCCATTGTGCACAATTCCCACAGAAGTATACCAAAAGACCACCTAAGGAAAAAGAAACAAAAAAATGATAAGTTTAAGTTATTTTGAATGCTTTGTCAGTCTGGTACGTATTCCTTGTCAATCAACTAATCGTAGCCATATTCTAATAATAGTTTAGTTGTATGTTGCTTGTAGGGAATATGCAGCTTATCATAATGCTGAACTGTACGCCAATGATATGTATGATTGAGGCCAATAATTTTGTAGAGAGAGGAATTTTGATCTTCAAGTTCGAATGTTTACAGTTGCAAGATAATTTTTCCAATTTTCTTTGATAGACTTTTAAGAACTCAGAATGAAGCATGACGAAATAAGGGACAAGAAAAAATTAGCTCAATGGATAAGTACATATACTCACACATCACTTTTAGAAGTGTATACTGCGCTTTCTAGAGACTCAGGCGCTATCCATTTGGTAGGCAGTTTCTTCGTTTTCGTGACTTCATATATGTCTCCATACGTGTGCCGTAACAGGCCAAAGTCAGCAATTTTCACAGCTCTGTTCTCACCAAGAAGGATGTTACGAGCGGCCAGATCACGATGAACAAATCCCTTGCCAGCCAAGTACTCCTGTTTCAAGGAAAACAAAAATTAAACCTGGCGCCCCGTGCATCATTCCATCCTTTCCTTTTTTTTTTTTTTGCGCATCACGGTCAAAGAGAGTTTTGACACAGTTGACAAGGAAGGCAACCTTATAAAGTGTGGTTGGAGGAAGGAATTCCTTGCGCCTCCTTTTTCCTTACTTAGTCGTGCCCATCTTTTCGTCGAAATACAAATGGGGGCCATAACCTTCACTTATCTCAAAACAGGTAACAAGACGGAAAAGAATTGAGGTGATTTACAAAGTCAAATGTTTGTAATATAACGGCTTAAATCAAGCTCCTGTGGACGAGAACCTCAGAAACAAATTATGTTGCCAGTCTCGATATTTTGGTCAGAGGAAATTGTCTCGGAAGCTCAGTCAACACCACATATGCTATTGCTAAACATGGCCACCTGTATCGAACTTATGGCACGCACGCGCACGGATAGCTGAAAGTCGTTACATTCTCAAGGTAAGCGAAACATAGCCATAAATGAAAACAATTTAAAAACTGCATGAATCAGCAAAAAACAAGAATGTCACTTCACAACACATAATGGCTGAGTAAAGTACACTGTTACGACAGCATTATCTATTGATCAATTGATGATTTTCTGCTCAAAGGTTTGTTTCATCATTGATTGTTTCTCGTATTGTTGGTGTCGTTCAAAGAAGAATTGTCACTTTATTTAACTGACTTCTCTTCCACGTTTTTATTATTTTTCCTCAGGTAATCGTACGTAATTTTTTGTTAACGGCATTCGGCTCTCGAAGCAGGAATAATAGAGAGGCGAGTTTATCTTCTAGACTCCTTTTGATATAAGATATTTTCTAATTAATTCAAGTACTTACCATTCCTTCTGCTATCTGCCATGCAAAACAAAGTACATCTTCAACGGTGAAGTCAACCGTTTGTTCACCATCATTATTTGTTTCCTGTTGTTCACCCATGTTCTCTTGGGGTGTGGTGATTGGTTTTTCAGTAGGCAAAATCTTGTCCAGGCAACACTGTTCATCGAACTGTTCGCTCTGGAGTATTTGCCCTCCTCCCTGCCCAGAAGGAAAATCAGTTTGGGAAGTATTAGATTCAGATAAGCTTTCACCTCTTCTTTTCAACTCGGTAAATAGCTGTTCTTCCACATTAATAGAAATATCCGACGTGATGATAAAATCCTGCTCATCGGTAACTTCAGTTAGTACGTCCACTTTTGAGACTTCCTCGGCAGTATCGTTATCAACATGAAAGTCTTCGTCTTCTGTCTTGACAGCTGAGACAACTTCATTTGAACTCACAGTGCTATCTGAAGAATTGGCCATAGCTTCAAAAATAGTATCATTAATGCCATTTTTGCAATTGACCTGAAAGCAATAAACTATGTTGTTACGACAATCTCTGATTTATCAGTTTTGAGAGCATAAAAGCAAAAGAAGGTGTGACTTTTTTAGTTTTAACCCTTCCAATCACAGGTAATTAATGCGTTTTCTTTTGTTTTGAGCTCTATGTCGGGGAAAATGAATTGTATCAAAATGACATGGGTATCCGCTAAAACCCTTTGCTGATAAATTGGCATTAGCACATTCCAAACGAAGCCGACTTTGATCAGTAGTTTTCTACACCCTACTTCTGAATCTGCAGAACAGTTTTACCTGTTGTCTTCTTTTTCTCAGCCACTGAAGAAGATCTCCATGTGGAACATACTCCATGATCAGCATTATAGGTTCTGACCTGTCCCAGTACCCAATCATGCTCAGCACATTCCTGTGACTACCAATTCGCTGCATCAACGAAATTTCTCTGTGAAACTGGTCCTTCTCCTCTGTACCAGCTCTTTCTAAAAGGGGATATAATAAAACAGAGAAAACCATCTCGTTAGTTTATTTAACTAAAGGCTATCTTTGCCCATTTATCGCGGAGAGTGGTCTCAGTCGTTTCAGCAGTTTAACCGGAATGAGGAAGTCGAGGAGGCGATAACTGCGATAACGCGCCCTTAATTTTCAGCGTAGCTATGCTTGTTCCAATACTGTGGTATCAATGTTCCCGCAGAATTTAATCATAAGAAAATCTTTCTTTAGAGAAATTGCGAATCGCTTCATCTTCTCTATGTGCTTCTCGATATTTCCCATATGTGCGGTTAAAGCTTGATGATTCTGTTTGTGAACAGTAGGAATAACAAGAAAAGGAAACACATGCTTATCCTAGGCGTGGTTGATACTCGATTAATTCAACGGAAATAGCGTTCAGTAATTTAACCCTTTAACTCCCATGAGTGACCAAGACAGAATTTCTCCTCACAATATCAACACCGAATCAGCAGAAAAGTAAGGAGAATAAAGAGGAAAACTCAATTAGGGGATTACGAGTTGATCCAATACCAAATTCTCCAAATTGAAACCATAAGTATTTTATGACAGACAATAGAGAGAATTATTAATGAGATCTTGGTAGTAAAAGGGTTAACACCTTGCTAGCTTCCTAAGCCCTAACTAATGAATGGCTGAAATCGATTATATATTCATCGAACTCTGCTTTTAATGTTGTTTTCATCATGATAGTTTCGTCAAACCAGCGTGCAAACCAAATTTTTGCTCTCTCATTGAAAAAAGTAAATACATCGAAGTGTACTAACCATGGAGGAGTTTGACAGCGACCATTCTTTCTTCGTTGATATCAATTCTTTCCTCTTTAGCCTTGAAAAACACTTCAACCTTCGGCATTTCTTTTAGGATTGCTTTATGTACTTTTCCAAATTCTCCTCTACCCAGCTCTTCCATAATTGTTATACGTTCCAGGGGAATCTCTTTTAACAGCAGGTGAACAATGTCTGACTTCGATCTAATGAAACATGAAAGAGTCTGAGGCTCTTCTCTCTTGTTTATTAAGTTATCACATACGCTCGAAGCGACTAATGAAGACTTGTTTCACTTGTGACTAAGCACTAGAAAATTCATATTTACATCAGTGTAGGCAAAATTTTGATTCTTGCTTCAAATACTTTGAGTGTAATGAAAAGGTGAAAAAATGTTTAATATAGCAGAAATATATTAGCATTCAGAAAGCTGGGACTGTGTCAGCTTGATAATTATTTTGTAAAATTACATTATGCCCAACCTTCCTTTCGCGTGGCCTCGCATTGCTTTCTTTTTTCCCTTTCTGACACAAAGGATTCCCATAGTAATGATAATAAGGAAGCCACATCCAACTGGTACAGCAATGCTGAGTATTCGTCCGATAGAATAATCAGTCAGAAGCCCAGTTTTTATCGACCGTTTATTTGAGACATCACCTTCTCCCAGTTCATTCCAAGCAGACACTTTAAAAAGGTATTCAGTGTTACACTTTAGCGACCGAAGATCCATTGAAGTTTTATCCACGGTGACATTGATTTGATGCCAGGACTTATCTTTGTTTGTAAATTGGTCCTCACTGTAGTATACTGTGTACAAGGTCAGTGGACAGCCGTTGTCTGGTGGAGAATTCCATTTGAGATTCACATCACATCCCGGCAACTGAACTCCTTCGCTCTGTATAATCGGAGCTGAAGGTTTATCTGAAGCAAAAACGAGCGAGAAAGCTTTGAAAAAACAAGAACTGAGAAACTGACCAACAGTTTTGTTGACTTTTTTGTGATTAAGAATCTACCACGCCGGTTTCGTGTAGTGATAAGCCTTTAATAGTATCTGACCTTACTCTGTAATGTAAACAACCAGATTAAAGGTATATTTGCACATACGAAGACAATTGGCACTGAAACAAGAAAGCTTATGATTCCCCAAGCTCATTAGCTATATACGAATAATATTTTGTTCCTTAACTTCTCGTCTAACACGCGATTTTTTAATTCAAATTTGTACTATTACCTCCCAATGTTCTCACTCTCCACAATTTGTTATGGTTTAATAATGAAATCAGTGGCGTATCTGCCGTAGAATTCCAGGCTGTTACAGCTACTTCATACTCCCTCTGGCAAAGAAGGTGTAAATCATAGCTCGTTTCATTTCCCGACACGTTCGCAGCGTTCCAATGGCCTTTACCTTCTGAAAGTATTTCTCTGTGGTAGATAGTGAATAAAAAAGCAGAACACGTCTTCCAGCGGACCGCCACAAGACTCCCTTTCACTTCTTTAGTTCGGTTGAGAATTACTGGGTACCCTTAAGAGGAAAAAAAAGGCAGAAAACAGAATAAAAAGAGGGGATTAATCTCGAGTTGCGAGTTACAGAGGATGAGACACGTAAGGTAACAATAACACAAAAGAGCGTCATTTACAAAAAGAGATTGGTACGCAGCAAAGTCGTGCGAATCACCATCTTGATCTGTAACATCGAGCCGTCTTGTTTCACTGAAAAAGTTTTGTTTTCACACAGCGATTCCTACAACCAATGACAATCGATGTTGTATTATTTCAGAAAAAGTAGATACAGGAAGACTGATAGAAATACCTAAAATAGATTTCACACGCCAAGGATCTGATCGCTGACTTTCTCCCACCTCATTCCATGCGGACACTTTAAATTCATATTCTTCGTCACAGTCAAGCGGAAGGTCTCTCAGCTCGTTTGCACCCGATGATGTATTGATATGATACCAGAAATTATCTTCATTTTGCGATTTGACAATGGCTTTATAGTACACTGTGTACATAGTAACTGGACAGCTGTTGGTATCAGGAGAACTCCATTTTATGGAGGAATCAGGAAATGAGATTTCCCTCTCTTCGCTTTCAATAACAGGATGAAAAGGAGCACCTGTAGAAAAGATGACTTCGGTGTTATCTTAGCGTCGGTGGTAACCTGCTTCATGCGACTGTGATAACTAAAAAGCTGTAATAAATACATTCTATGGTCCATACCAAACTGTTTTATATGCTGACTGAATGATAGTTTGTTGCGCTGAACGGCTTCAAATTAAAGACAAGAGTCAAACAAAACCGAACGAGTCATAACTAACCCTTCATCACACTATTTAGAGGAAATAAATTAAAAAAAAAACATTTGCAGCTTCATTTCTCAACTGAAGTCAGTAAGAAATGGTGGAGATAAATCACAGAAACAGCTCCTCAGTTGTTTAGATAGGATATTTCGAGGAAATGGAAAACCAATCAATGTACAGTAAATCACTTGCTCTCAGAGACAAACTTCATTAAAAACTATAAAACTTAGATAAATCATTTCCAAAGAAATCAAGGTTGTTGATAAAAATTTGATTACTTAATTTGCTATTTCTAAATCACGTATATTTTTTATTTTAAGCTAGCTTATCGCCGACGCATTTAATGATTATTTTTCGCAGATAATGGATTTTATTTTTTCATTCATTAATGAAGTCGACTTTTCTTGTCAGTAAAGACCTAATTTGTTTATGTAATAAATACATAGCTGCTTGTAGATATGGAATTTCTCTTCTCGTGTTTAACTCGAAATCTTACTCGTTCGATTCGCTACTCTCATTCGCGAGCTGTCGAGTCGAACACTCGAAGAGAAATTCCATACCTATACATGCACCCATGCATTATTCTCCAGATATCATAGAAATGACGTAAACAATGATTGAAATTGAAGTGAATCCACGGAGCTTAGCCGAGTGGTTTCGTTTCGGTTCAGTTTTAAATCAAAAGTTCCCGTCTTAAGATCAAACGGTTAACATGGAAACTTTATGTACCTGCTGGTATTTTTATCCCATACAGTTCTACTCTAAGTGCTTTGTGAATATGATAGTCAATTGGCTGTAACCGAACGATCCGAGCCCTTGCCACTTCCAACAGAACGTGTTGCACTATTTCATCCCGGTGTGAGTTGCCCCTGAAAATCTGTGAAAAAATATTAGTCAGGCAAAAAATATGAACAAAAACTCACTGTCGTATCTCATTTATATGGTGTATCAAAGTCTTCCTTCTATAACCTGGTGTAGTCTAGATTTGATTCCTGCTCCTTAGGAAAACTCTGCTAAAACTTGGTCCAGTTAGAAAGAGTCATAGTTACCTTTAGGTGCGTGCAACATAAACTGCATGGCTTTTTCACCAACAGAGAAATATTTCCGCCCACTAAACTGATCTGCATACAGACTAGTCAACAAAAACATTATCTCCTAAGACCAGTCGCCGGGAGATTGGAGGTTCTTATTTTACTTAGGGAACATTGGAATGTTATCATAACTTTCTTTCAAACCTTTTTCGTGTTATTCTCTTTATATCTGATCCAATATTCGAGAAACAAATACAACTCATAACTTTTGGTCCAGGCATCTTCATTTGGATGTCCTTGAGTAGCTACAGCACAAATGAAGTACACGTCTCCCAAGTTAATTTCCAGGTAATCATCAGCATTTTCGGCATTGCTGGGTGACCAGGCACCCGAACTACTCTTAAGTCGTGCTTTGTAAGGTTTATTATCACCACGAGATGATGAGGCTGAGAAACTTTTGTCTGAGAAGAAGTAAGGGTTGGCCACCTCAACTGCTTGTGCCTGACACGCTTCAGAAAAATGAATAGAAAGAACAAATTAAAAGAAACTTTGCAAAGTCAAACCTCTATAAAAGCTTCCTCCAAAAAGCAGACAGTATTCTATAATGGTCACCGAACCTATCTCTCCAAGATAAATTTTGAAGAAAGGTTCTACCTAGTACAAGGAAATGAGGGGAGAGTCACATAAACATTGTTTGACTCTGAGTTCTTTTTCCGAAACACCCTCGATTTGACCTTTTATTGTCCCTCTCCAATTTCCTTTTAACAACTTAAATCAGTATTTATCAATTGTGCATCTTTGTAGTCTTAGTGAATCTTTGTAATCAGAACTCCAGAACGGGCAATCCCGAGCGGGTAAGATGCGCCCATCTTGCCCACTCGGGTAGCCAATCAGAATAGAGGATTTGCTTCATATTCCAACGAGCACTGCCAGCGTCAAATGATGAGTGTTATAAACTCGATTAAAAATGTTACAAAGATAAAACCTTATAAAAGTTTGTTAAAGTATGCTGATGGGCCTGTGTGACTCTTAGCTAGAGCAGAATTTCCGCAATTTGCTTCTCTTTCAAGAATAGATTCTTTGGTGAAACTAGCGTTCATCTTTTCGCACTTCTGCGTCCAAAAATATAACATGTTTTTGACATTACAGCCGTTTTTTGTTTTATTTCTTTTTTTTTTGGTTTTCTCGTCAGAAAATTGTTTAATTGCTCTTTGTCGGTCTAGTGAGTTTCCACGAGAACATGTCGTCCATGAATTTCTTCCACAATAGCTGTCATTTGTTGCTATGCCTGAGTATTTTACCTTTGACCATGGCATGGCCATGACGTATCCAAAGTTTCCATACTTTTTTTCCTTGTGTAGGGCGGGATAGCTCGTTATTCTATCATTTGGCTGAGCCAGGCCTCAAGTTTGCGTTCTCTGAACATTATGGCAGTTTTATGTTCCCTATCGAACTCTCTGGTAGTTTTGTTTTTGTCGTGCCATAGTATAAATGTATAAACATATACTTTAAATAAACAACAGTTGGGTTGTAAAAACAGTCAAAGTGGATAGTTCCTAAGTTTATGAAATATCATTAAATCATCACAAAATGTATCAAATCAAAAATTAAGAAAATAAAGCAGAAAAAATATCACAGGAATAATGAATAATCACGGTACAATTATTCAGGTTCCATTCCCAAGTTGAAAAAGCCGCTTACCAGTGCTTGTTTGCTTCTCAGAATAGACCTGCACTTCGCATATGGCGAGTTTCCTGACTCCAGGAGCTTGAATGACAATATAAACGAATTTACCAACAAGTTTAGGAAGACAATATACGGTCAGTCGTGGCCCATTCACAGTGTCTTCGTAAGTCCGTTGGCCTCTACAACGCAAGTGTGAACTTCCTTTCTTGACACCGTCATAATCTGTTAGACAAGAAGACAGGATACACAGTCACTGCTGAACCTGTGACTTGTTTGCCTCTTGTGTCTCGGGTACTAAATGACTTTCTAGTTTATCAGGAATTTGAAGGGTTCAGTTTTAGATGTATTTCCCTTTCTTTTATTTTTGTGTGAAAAAAATACAAACGGTCCCGAAAAACGAAAGTAGTTTAGGTTCCTCCTTTTCTTTTTGCAATGTGAATTCTCCTCGGGTTTACAAGTACAATAATTGCCGAAGGGCCTATTTTTCTCGGCCTTTCATGATTATGATTTTAATGATACCATGATTTAACTTCACAATTCCCTGAACTCACCAATCCAGACTTGAAATTCTTCCATTTTAGAGTTTCTCGGCAATCGGTAATTAAGGATGACCATAGATATGATTTGCGATACTCCTAAGTCCACTCTCCACCAGGGGTTCTGCTGGAAACGGGTTTCAGCACACGAAAAAATATCTTCGTCTATTGCTTTGTCGGCCATATGGTTCTGATGCCATGTAGAAGACTGGTTAGCAGATTTATGCCAGGCAAGGTCTATCATAAAAAAGCAACTCGTGGTAAAAACATACATATGTCTTGTTTTATTTTGCTCTCGAGGAACTTAACCTCTGTGCTCCAAACCAGATAATTGAATTATGTTGCGCTGACACCAATCTGTGTGGTCCCCGAGGAAGAAAATCTCAAACTCAAAATTTGTGAAACACCAGAAGTATCCTTAAAGTGCCCATGTCGCGATTATTTTTGTTTTGTTTTTTTTTTTTGCATCTTCTAGTTGATAGCTGTATTTAAAATAAGAAATAACCGACCCTAGCGCCTAGCGAGTTCTCCTTGACCATTTGTTTTGTGCATTGAAAGTACGATTTGGCGGCCAAAAAGTGTGTATGACGTAGAAAACTGTGAAGACACGTCGGTAACTATGGCAGAGAAAGAAAATATCTAGAAGAAAGGACGAACGTATTGCGTGGCCGGAGCGCCAAATGATTTTAGCTCCAAGAATAAAAGACATATTCCGGATATTTCTATGCACTCCTTTTCCAAAGGATGTAGCTGTATGGTCAAAATGGACGCGTTTCGATCGTCGACATTGAGGAAATTTTATCAAAAGTAGCAACAGTAGCAATGTCATTGTGATGAGAGCACTGCAATGAGATAGATAAAGAAACGCATATTTCATTGAATTAGATGGTAGCGAATCCAATTGCTGTGTGAAAGTCAATTCGTAGGAAATATTCACTTACAATACACGATGTCATTTATTTGCCATCGAGCGGAATGGGTCATAAGGCAGTGCCGCACTACTTCACTTTAACTCTAGAAGTTTTTCTGTATTAAAATCCCTATTGAGAGTAACTTGAATCAGATGACTTCTCGGCGAAAAATCATCGTGCTGCGTGATACAGCTGATTTTCTTTCGTCAAAAGTAAGCTTTTGTTTTGGTAAGGGATTTACTCAACGGAAACGAAACTCTAGAGCACTGACTAAGGGGAACCTTCGCCGCACTTAGTGCGAAGGAATAAAATGTTATGGCAACAGAAACGAACACAGCCATCCATTCTTAAAATAGATTTTTCCATAGAAAACATAACACAAACGAAACAAACTAAACGTTCAGTAACGGTGGTTTTTGTTATAATCTTGACCTGAATACCGCAAGCGACAAACCGTCTTTGACACTCTTCGACGAAATCTTCGTTGATGCACGCGGCTCTCCTTTGTAGGGCTGAACCGTACTTGCAACTTCCATTTCTTCTTCGATGTATCAAAACTCTTGGTAGAACTTGCTGAAGGTAAAGAGATATCGCTCTCGGATAATTTTTCAAGAGTTTTTCGACGCTGATTGATACAAAATCACAAGAGATGTGAGAGATTTGTTAGTGTCAGCTGACAGTTTTCCCAGTTTTCTACGTCATCACCGGTTAATTCGTTACAAGTCCACGAGACACTTTTAAGACAAAATAAGAGCACTTTAGGGCCCGGAAAAACCGAGTTTTAAGTTTTTTGAATTTTTTTTTTTTATCGGAACTGGTTTATACATATGATAAGCTAAATATCTACGCAAAAAAATTTCGTGTTATAGGCACTTTAATTTCCTTTGCTTAATTCCTCTCTCCCATATTTATTTCTACAACGTTCATGGGATCTTGTAAACGATTATAAAAATGGGTAGGAGAAGTAATAATATGTGAGAGGTAATAAAATGTGAACTCTAGATACTAACTAAACTACTTAAAATTAGATCTCACCCCAATTTTTCATAAAATTTTTTAGGAATTTTATGACAAATCTCCAAGATATTGATTTATGTTACGCGAAGTAAAATGCAAATGACCTTACTTGATACAACTGTGGAGTAAACCTCAACTTTACAAAGAGTCAATATTTTTGATGATCCAGGTAACCTAATGAATAAATGCCTGCCATACAGCGTCATATGACATCGGATAAAGTTTCCCCTTCCCGTAGGGATGCTTAGACCACCGGCACAAAAGCTGTTCTTTGCTCCTTCCTCTGTAGTTTCATTTCCTCAAAGTAACAATATAAAACATAAACAGTGATCAGTGCCCAATTAAAAATTCATTAGATACAAGGTGTTATGAAATATTTAATTAGTTCAGTATGATTTAGTCATTCGTTTATATTTGGCATGTGGTTACTATATCGGAATTCAAAGTTCGAAGTTCTTTAGGTATAAGCTATCACGACGAGTTCAGTTCCAAATTGTGATTGTCTTTTTTAACTTCACTGAGTGGATGAGCTTAGTTTGTCGTGTGATCTTGCTTTAAACCCACACGGAAGTTCTTATTTTGCTTTCGCAGTCGAAGATCGATTCGATTGACCGGAAGCATTAAATGCGGTGTTGTGTTGTTGTTCATTTGTGAGATTTGTGTAAAATTGTTTCGATTAGTGTTCTAAAAACTAACGTTTGATCTTCCAAGGTCAGTTGGCCAGCGTGCCTATTCGTGCCTTTCGATAGCGAACATATAAGCATGTGCTTTAGTGTTTAATAAGTAGTCAGTGAGGAGTAGAAGTCAGTGCCGGCCGAGAGTAGAGGAGTGATAATGTTTGAGTGAGAATCAAAGATCGAAATGCAGAACAGAGTTACTGTCAATCAGACGGCCAGAGTTACCTAGATTGAAGTGAATTTGATGTAAGTAGAATGTTTTATGAGAGAACCGAGAAATTAAGGACGACTGAAAAAGACAAGTACTCCTGAGCTATCATTTACAAAGAAAGTATCAATCCAGCTGCAATTTTCTTATAAGTACTCACCAACTCTTATCTCAGCACCATTTAATCTTTCTCCACAACAGTCTCCTCTATTGAGAATGAAAACCTCTGAAACAGGCACCACTTGCTCAAGGTCGACTTTCCACCAAGGTTTGGTAGACGCCCTTGTGTGTGTACAGTGTATATTCAATTTTTCCCCATTAACAGCAATACTTGCGTATTGGAAGTCGTGCAAACTTGACTGATCCGTGGGTTTTTCTTGGGCCAGATTTTCTGAACAATGCAGAATTATAATTACATTTCCCAAAGTGCTAAAAAGAAGCTTAGTGTTACGATCCTCTTTTACAGTTAAGTCGATACTGTCCTCACCAATCTACACGGTAAATATTTTGCACACTCTAGATGCTATTTTGCCAAACAGATCAAAGTAATGAAATCTTCAGAAAATCAGTTTTATTACAAGAAGGAAATCTTTTCGGTAACCGTTATACTAGTGGGATGAAAACATTCTCATTTCTAAAAAGTCATTTTACGTGAGTTGCATTTCCTGTGCATAATTTTAAGCAGATATAAACATGTTAAAAGACAGAATCGTTTATTGGTTAATCAACTTTACTAAACAACGTATTTCTAAACTCATAGGGATATCAACGTAGGATGAAAAGGTATGGTTTCTTTTCTGATTGTAGTACGGAGTATTAACCGAGCAAATCCAGCCGATATGAATATAGAGTACAATTTACCCCGTGCCAGTGGTATTCCAAATATCTCAATCCTCATGCAACAGTGGTCGTGGTGGTCGTGAGCAATGATGCGCAAATGTCTTGCCACAATCCCGCTGCACAAATGTTTTGTTACTATTGTGTTTCGGTCAAAATTTCCAGGAAAGATCTGAAAATGTAAGAAATATCAGAGAGTCTCCAATAAGATTCTTCAATCCCGTGATCCCGACTTAAATTTAATCTCAATCCTGTATTCCTGACCGTTCATACCGGCCGGTCCCGATCCCGATCGTAAATTTTTGTTTTTTGGTTCATTCCTCAACTTAAAAGGACCTTTTCAATGGCTGGTGATTTTCAAAACCAGTATTGATCCATTGAAGTCTTTGCTCACCGTAAGGCGTAAGTTTAACTTTTTTCACACAAACGATATCGTTCATTTAAGAAGTTTTCTAAGTTTTTCTCGAATAACGTAGACTAGTCATGGTAACTACTTCCTTCGGTTTAACTTCGATCACGAATAAACATAATAGTAAAGAGTAGTATCAAAAAAACGAACAACAATGTCAACAAGTGCATAAAACGAAAAAAGATGACGGCAATCCCGTTGGTTCCATAACATGGGAAATAAAGAAAAATTCTGCTGTTGAAGCGAGTACTTCTTCCGAAGCAGAAAAAATCTTCCAGGGAGAAAACGAGTCTCTCGCTCCAAAGATAGAGTGACCATCATCACATGCGGTCTCGTCGTCCGGAAATGACTCATTAGATTCTTCATCACTGCTGGGGAATCGTACTTTAATATCTCATTTTCCTTTTTGTTTTTTTTTTTGCTGCTCCTCTAGGTCAGAGAGTTCGAAGCTGAGTGGTTCACCCAGCTGAATTTTTCTCTGATCGAGGTACGACAGGAGAGTTCCAACTTTTTACATCTGATGCATCGCAACACCAAATGTTTGTGCTCAGTCCCTCATCTTCTGTTTGTGCTATGGTGCTATCGGTACAGGTGATAGAATTTGAATACTGGTATGGCCGACAGGATCATGGCACGTTTGTGTGCAGGATACCAAGACTTTGGATTTGTAAAATAATACGCCACCCACCAGGTTGTCCTCTTTGCATTTCCAAAGTTTCTTGCGCAAATTAACACCGTGCAAAGTGGATATTGGTAATAAATGCACAACCGAGCGAGTACTCGGCACATCTATTGTCATACGACTCATTAGGTTAAACGAGTTTGCGGGAAGAAATGAAGTACGATTCCATAAAAACGGCTGCGTGGGAAGCTGGGCTTTTTCGGACTTCACGTAGATCAATTTCTTTAAAAATTCTCGTCAACGAACTTCCTAGTTCTCTGTAGGTTTAAGTGATGGTTTCCGAATCCCGCCTCTCAATTGTTGATTCCAGTGTCCCGTTCATAGCAACAATCCCGCACTTCGCTCCCTTAAGCTTCTTACTCTAATACCCGGATCCTGGCCTTCAAATAAGCCCAATCCCGGTGTATTGCGCAAAATTCTAATTTCTTTGCGCATTATAATTTGATGACGTAACAGATATAATTGTTAAGATTTTCTATCGCTAGACAGTGTTATGGACACCTAGAACCAATGGGTAAATATTTACCTTGATTTCTTTTGATATTATCGATATGAACTGAAACTAATTTGTTAACGCATTACTTTACAGATTTCGAATCTCCGATCCATATCCGTGGTTTTTGTCATAACCTTCATCCGTTATTTATTGTAATAAAATATCGAGGTTTGGAACCTTTGGTATATTAATGTCCTAACACACCGTCACACCCGGATCCCGAAAACCTATTGGGACCCCTCATAGCATACATCATCACTGACTAGCAAAATTTAACGTATACCTCTTGAAAGCGAACCCAAGCAAACTCCTGCAGATTTTTCCTTCATCTGAAGGATCTCTTTTAAAGACCAAGTGCAGGTTTTTTCGACTGAATCTCTCGTTTTTAATAATTATAATAAGGAAGAAGTCATATTTCAATTTGCGTTCTGTTTAAAAGATTCAACCTATCCAAGAATTTATTTCAGCTTCTTTTGCCAAATTTGGCGGCGAGAGGATTTTTAACAGATTTACTGTTAAGATTGCTTATGTTAATCTTGGATTCCGACCCTCATTGTAAATAATTAGTTGTTAAAATTATTAGAGTTTGGTTCTGAAATGCATATGCTCAGTATACGATTGTTTTAGCCACATCATGCTTCCGCAGAAATGTTAGGCTAAGTTAACTTAGACACCTTTTTTATCGTATCCTAATAACGACAGTTGATGTTACAAGGTCTTATAAGTACCAGCTGATTATTTTTCAGAAACCCGAAATTGACAAACCTTTAAAATTCCCGCCTCGTGATAGTCTGTCCAAGTGGTCCCATCGTTGGATGACTGCAGTGTGTACTTTTTCACCCACTGATCCCCTTGGGAATTTCCCTGGGTTGACACAGCACAGATGATATAAAGCTTCTCAAAGTCAAACTGTAGATATGGCTGACTATCATTTGTTGCTGCACACCATGATGATCTTCCAGTGTAGTTCAATCGACCATTCTTAGCAGGTGTGTTGGTATTTAGGACAGAGGACGAACTGATGTCTCTATCCAGGATGTATCCATTGGCAACTCCTAACTCCATATGCTGACAGAATGGGACTGTGACTATGGAAGCATTATACAACGGTTATCGAAAAGCTGATGCAGTCAAACCTCTATTAAAAGTTCTCGTAGTCGTTCAGCTACTCGATGAAAGTTGTCTTTATATTCTACTTATATCAAGAACTCGGTAAGAATAAACAGTGTATGATGACAATATGGTTTTGATTCTGCATGCGACTCACATTTTGAACTTTGACCTTTTAAAAGAAGTAATGCGTCCACCAATTCTCTTTTAAAATAATTTCTAGAGAGGCCTCTCCTCGCCATCATAATGATTATCTCTTTTTAAGAGGTCTTATGGGAGTTCGACTGTAAATTTGCTCACATCGCTTTTGTTTTTTGAGTTTAAGGAGGCTCCATGGGGTTTTTGCTCAATGTTGGCGCGCGCGCCAGCGTAATGTTTTTATGGAAAATTTTTATGTTCTCGCTTTTCAAGTTCACTAAAATGCCAACTAAAGGCAATGGGCACGTTTGGGACTCGTTTGCTGTAGTGAATATTATCAAATGGTTTTCGTTATTAAGGTAAGGCTTCACGAAGGCAGGCGCTCGTCAGCGATAATTTGGCTTTGCCTCTGATTTTCTTCAATTTGCTCCAGTGAAATCTCTCAAAATTTTCACAATTTGTGAAAATTGTCTTGTGATCATTTAAAAGCCGAAAAAAATAGGGGTTATGAAGGCAGTTTCTACGCTATTTGAAATTTTGTGTTTTCTTCCTCCATCTCAAATTTAGTCATGTTTTTTTTTTTTATAAAAGGCACGAGGTAGGGCACAAATATGTTTAACGGTACAGTAAATCTTAGGAAATTCCACCGCATGAAACCTGATAAATCTTACTCGAAAGATCTCTATTTTCTTTGTTCCAAAACTTTACTTAATGGTTACAGAACTTCGCCAAGATCGTGTCTGAGCATGCGTTGACTTTCGAATCTTTCGCCATTTGGCAATCTTTCCCACGATGTTTTCTTTTCGGTTGACCTCTTTTTCAGGGGTTGAAAGCCTGTAAATATTACGGGCGCAGTTACTGGAAACTCTAGATTCCATCAAATACAAACTGTTGTATGTTTAACTGTTTTTAAAACACCTTTTCAGATTACAATCGCGCCTCCTTAATGATTTTTTTTGGAATTATCTCGAAGTTTGACTGCAAATTTTGAATGGGACGTTATCAGTTCTCGTTGTCTTTTGTTACCATAATTTTAGTGATGATGTAATAGCATATGCTGAAGTTTAAAACATTTAGGTTCCCGCTTCTTGCCAAGCTACCTGTTTGTATTCATGATTTTGGAAAAACGGTATTGGTATTTTGAGTAACTCTACATTATTCACTCACTTTTTTCTTTGTAAATCTCAACTCTGAGGCAGTTGTGCTTGTGACGCTGGGTTGGATGAAATCGGAAGTATCTTGCATACACTGGCAGTGGTAACTTGTGCTGGTCGATTATCAAACTACTTCCTTTCCTCTGAAATTCCTTTGTTACAAATATGTAAAGCATGGAATATTAATTCGTTTAAAAGGGATGATAATCCTTGAAAATTAACTTTTTTCCGAAAGCCAAAACAGCAAAGCAAAACAAAACAAACTAGACGCTATTGAAGCATTAACTCGAGCTTGCTTTAGGATTTATTGTTTATTAAATAGGCAATTTTACATGCGAAGTTGTAATTACTAGTGTACGTGGATAGCAGTTTTGTTTCCCGGGGAGCGCCTGAGCAAGTTGTGAGGCCGCGAGGGAAATGAAAAATAAACACGTGATCCGATCTGTTATCCGATCCGTGATCCGATCTGTGATCAGATTCGTGATCCAAACCGGTCCGATCCAAGTTTTGTCAACGCTGTTCGTTCTCCTATTAGGTTAAATAATGAAAAAGCCTATTCCTTAAATCTCACCATATCCCCACCAGTTTCATTCCGGTAAGTTTCCCAGTTTGTTCCATCTAAGGAATAAGATAGTTTGAAAGCTGTGACCCATCTGCCTTTCAAATTCCATTCTTTGTCCCCTTGGGTAGCAAGACCACATGCTTGAATTATTATTCCGATGTCAACCTGGAGCCATTCGTTGTTACTGTTAGGCAGACTAGAACACCAACCATTACCGTACTTAGCGTTTAGTCGACCGTAAAACGCTTGGCTATAACCATTGCTTTCAGAACGCGCTTTTATCTGATTATTGGAGATGACACTGGGATCAGCAACACCGACAGGATTACTGAAGCAATCTGTAAATTGATTGCATGTAAAGAGTTTCAAAACCTACAATAAGTACATTAGGTGACGTTCACGTACAGTGACAGCTGTTTTTTGCATCACTGATGGCAACTGTTAAAAAGACTAAGTGTAGCGCCTCAGTTATTGACAAAGAGTGCTATCAGGTGGCATACATCATGCGACAACAACAATAATAACTTCTGTAGGCGCCATGATTACAAGTTAATACGTAATTGTCTTTGTTCGTGACTTTCGTTTTTGCTTGTCTTCGTCGCTTTTGTTACCTTTGTTAATTACTCTTTTAGCATGAGCCAAGTTTTCTTTTCGATGCGATGAACTATTGGTAGCAGAGTGTTAGAGTGCCTTCCGAAGGAATTCCATATTAGTTTACTTTTGGTGTTCTGTCCGACCAAACTTGGTATCAGAGCGAGGTTCTTGTTTGAATGCCGGAACCATGGAGATGAGCGAATCCAGAGAAAGTGCCGGCGTGGACAGCTTGAAAGAATCCGATGCAAATGAGGCTCTGCTGGATAATGATGTTATTTCCTTTTTGGCTCGAAGATCGCCGTCTAAAGTTTTTCACAGGATAAGAGTGGTTCTAGTGAGTGCGATTTTCCGCATTATAGGAAAGCAAGATTCCCATACCTTCTTCTCAGCCTAGTCGGTCTCTGAGTTTATCTGTATAAGGTCTATTGGCATGTCATTGCGTAATGGTCTCGACATATTACGAAATAACAAATTTAAGTCTTTTTAGTTGACCATTATATTTTTAAAAAATAGAAACGTTATAGTGCTTGTCTGAAAGTCATTTTTTGCATCGCGTTCAATTTCACAATATTCATGTATAAATACTACAGCAATGCACGAAATAAATAAAGTGAATAAAGGTCACTCAATTTTTATTTTACTGGCTTCTTCATGATCCGAGTCCAAAAGATGTAATGTCGAATGTTTCCTCGACATCAGAACTGGTACATTCAAAAGGATTTGTGTCTGGTTCACTCGAAGCATTGATCGTCCACTGCTACAACACTGTCTTTCCTTGAGGCAATCAATCATTTCGGCACAATTACCCGTTCGATTTTTTTGGACCGCAATGTGCAAGTAATGCTATCTTCGATGTGGCACTCGAAGGAGTCTCAGGCTAATAGCTGTATACATAGTCTCTATATCATTGCCTCAGTAGTCATTGATCTGCTGTGCTTTTTGAGTTTATTATTTGAATAAACGTGGAGAGTGAAGAATTAGTTCTTATGAGGCATAGCGCTTCACCTTTGACGAATCCTATATTTGCGCCTGGTGGATGACACGACTACCCCAAGTTCGTGTATTAGAGGGTCTCCGTCTCTTTGTACTGTGTTAGCACATCAAGGGTCGATTCCCTGTGAAATAACTCGCATCTAGGAATGTAACTCTGACTTTGATGTTATTCATACAGCCGTTGGCTGTGAATGTGACAGCTACCAGTTGTGTATTTTGCAAAATTTTGAAAAACCAAGGTGGTTTTAATCACAGATTTATGGGAAAAGTTTGAAATAAATACATTTTTCGAACCGAAGTGCACCGGACCGCTTTTAGAGAGACTGCGCCTTAAACAGTACATGTATTTCCTTTATTATCTTTAAAATAGTTCCATAAAACGTTTTTCTCACCTGGTGACCCTCCCGAAGTGTCAGGATATTTACAACTCTACGAGAAAATGTGACAAATTAAAAAGTTGGAACGTCAATAAAAGAAAACGCTGTTCATGCCTTTAACCATGCTATATAATGGTCCGGTATTTTCGTGTTACGGATAATTTTTTTAGGAACATTCTACCACGTAGGTGGTAACACATCAAAAATACAAAAATACTCACCAGATATATCAGGACTTTTAAAAGACGAAGACGTAATCCCATGGTATATTATATTCTTCTTTGTGAAGAAAGTCTGCGTAAAGAAGAAACTTTGTAATTACGAAATTAAGAGATCCTCGCAGCTAAGAACACTACTGAAACGAGTAGTTGAAAATAGGACCTGAAAAAAATTCAGGCCCGTACGGGCCTGGAAAAAATAGATTTTTTTACCGTTTTTTTTAACTTAACAAGTGTAAAAATTAGTAGCTTGCATTAAACACCAACCATTCAAATTTACTCCTCATTATTTCTATTATTTGGTGCCCGAAGGTCCTTATAATAATTTAATAATCAAGGACATATTGAAAACCTTCTATTGAAAGTTATAGCTTACTTTATTTCCAAATTTTGATGCTTGAAAGTCCCTAAATTTTGTCGGGATGTAATTTCTTGTTCTTATGGTCTTGATTAATATATATCATTGCATAGCTTTTGCTTCACCTCAACATTCGTGAAGGTAAACACATACAAAACAAAAAACAGCTGTAACAATGCCGTCACTTTCCTAATTTGCAAATACAATATACGTAATTACGAAATTAAGAGATCCTCGCAGCTAAGAACACTACTGAAACGAGTAGTTGAAAATAGGACCTGAAAAAATTCAGGCCCGTACGGGCCTAGAAAAAATAGATTTTTTTACCGTTTTTTTTAACTTAACAAGTGTAAAAATTAGTAGCTTGCATTAAACACCAACCATTCAAATTTACTCCTCATTATTTCTATTATTTGGTGCCCGAAGGTCCTTATAATAATCAAAATAATCAAGGACATATTGAAAACCTTCTATTGAAAGTTATAGCTTACTTTATTTCCAAATTTTGATGCTTGAAAGTCCCTAAATTTTGTCGGGATGTAATTTCTTGTTCTTATGGTCTTGATTAATACATATCATTGCATAGCTTTTGCTTCACCTCAACATTCGTGAAGGTAGACACATACCAAACAAAAAACAGCTGTAACAATGCCGTCACTTTCCTAATTTGAAAGTACAATTTACGTCGAGTCACGTTATGACGTTTTGGCGAAAAATCCTTCATGCTACACGAGACGAATTGTCTCAGTGAATTTTTCCTGCAATACATCCCAGGGAAATGTTTGGTAGAACAATTGAATCAGCCTGTTCCAGAGGCCTGTCGCTCCGACTCGTCGCATAGTGTATCCCGACTTCCAAGAAATGAAAATTAACATCAGAGAAGACATGGTCTCTCCCCTCGTCTGCGACTTTCTTTAATCTCCACTTTTAAACAAGGCCCAACCGATATCCATACTTTTTTCGGCCTAGCCTCGATCTACGCCATGAAGACGTCAACACCCCGACAGAAGTTTCACCAATGTATTTACGGACCTCCTCGTGCGCGTTGTTTTCAGTAATAGGGATAATAATTTTTCTTTTGACTACCACTTTATTTTCTTAATTTCTTTTGGAAACGATTGAAAAAGTCAGCATACAAAACTATTAAGACCTACCATAAAAACTGACGTGTGAAGTTTGAGGGAAGGTGGGAAAAGCCGAGTCAGACTCACGCTTTTTGACCTATCCACCTATCAAGTGGATAGTAAAATTGTTTGTGACAGTTGATGGAGCGGTTAGACATTAGTTATGAATGACATTCCGTAATTTGTATCTAAAATAAACTTTACCTGTAAATAATTAAGAAGGTTTTTATATTTCCTTTTGATGCAAATGTTATAAAGTACCTTTACAAAAGAACTGACTTTAGAATTCAGGACCATCTCACATTTTTGAATAAAGAAGGTAAAAGGCGAGGGTAAAAATGGACGTCATTGCAAAGCTGTAAGTTTTAAATTATTGTGAATATATGAAGATCATATATGTGAACTGCGGATAAAGAAGTGAATATGAAAGTGATCTTCGCAGAAATGAACACTACTTGAGCAATAGTGAAAATAAGCTTTAGTTTCATAAGTTTTAATAAATGTTAGTTCACACAAGATTTAATGCGAAGATACAATATTTCAACTCTATGTCAGTCATAATCATATTCCGCCATAAGGATATTGAACTAGCAGTATTCATATCTAGGATAATTATAGCGTTGTACAAAATGATTACAATTTATAAACAGCTTAATAAAGAGTAAAAAAGAAACTTTAAGAGCTTATGTCAGCATGCATCAAACAAACAGCGGCAAGTCACCCAAATTTGTTTTCACTCCTACTTTCATATTTTGTAGCCCAATTTGTTCTAATAATTGTGGTGTAGTGTTTTTGTAAAAATTTATTTCAGTTTTCGAGAAAAAGATTTTTTTCGTTCGACCGCTCAAATATGCAAATTTTCACCGTGAATATTACCCGAGTTGTGTGACCTCATGTGACGAATGTACTAGACTTACGGTATTTCTTTTAACATAATCCTTTGTTTTATCATCTTAACTTAATCCCCTGTCGTTATTGAAGCTGGCAAAGAGATATTTATTTTTTGGTGAATATTTTTGTCCGACATACTTTTCCTATGTCGAAAAGTAGCATCAAAACAAAGACAGTTTTAACAATGACCGATATGACAAAATCTACTGAGCTTCAAGCTTTGATAAGACAAAAGGATGGTTATAAAGTTACTGTAAAAATTTCCTTGTGTATTTGTGTTGTTCTATCTTGAGACGAACTCGAGGTCCGGCAAAATTTACTTGATTGCGACAATGAAATATACATGGTGCGCCTACTTGTCGCCACCGTTAATAATAATAATAATAATAATAATGATTCTTATCAATAAGGATTTAGAAATGCAAAGACTAGCAAAAACTAACGATAAAAACCGACGTTTCGGTGTCATCATGACGCCATTGTCAAGGAGAAATAAAGAATGAAGTTTGTGGCAAAGTGTAACATTAAATTAGCATAAATATGTTACGAGCTAATTAAACAAATACTTTTGCGCGAATTGAATCGCTTTGCACGTTCAGAGTGGGTTTTAAGTCTCTGATGAAAAGCATTTCGTTCACCAAACAATCGAACTTGTTACTACACTTTTTCAGAATGCTAAAACGTTTCAGTAGGTCTTTCGGGACTTCGCTGTGCTGTTCGTGGTAGTGTTTATATATTGAAGATGCCTTTCGTTTATGTCCATCCACGCGTGTGTGTAAGTGTCCGCGTGTATAGCCCACATAACCCGCATCACACAGGTCACATTGAAATTGATAAACGACGCGTTGTTGGTTGACAATCTGTGGCTTGATTTCTCGTACTTTAAGATCTTGGCTTACTTTGCGGCTAACAAATACTGGCTGGACAGTTGTCTGCACCTTCATGCTAAGATTCTTGAGCTCTTTCTTAACATAATTTGCTGATTCTTGATCTTTGAAAGGTATGACCACACGAACAATGGATATTGGTTCTTTGGGCGTCTGTGTGGGCTGCGTACCAACAATTCTTGATTGTAAGAAGGTGTTAATGGTAGAATTTACCAGGCGCCCCGGGTATTTAAGCCGTGCGAAAACTTTCTTTAGGCGATCACACTCATCAGAGAAATGGGCCCAGGAGGAAGATAATCGGTGTGCGCGATCCAGCATAGTTTTCAGCAAGCTCCGTTTGTAGCGATTGTCTACATGGCTTTGGTAGTGTAATAGTAGGCCCGTGTTTGTTGGTTTCACATATACCTTGGTTTCAATCCGAGGTGCATGGTTGAGTAGTTCGGTGCCAAGGAAAGGAAGCTTGCTGTTCTTCTCCACCTCCATGGTGAATTTGACCGAAGTGTGGGCGCTGTTGAGGGTATGCAAGAAGGTAGTTGCTGTTGCTAGATCAGGCATTACAGTGAGTGTATCATCAACATATCGACGATAATAGGATGGAAGTTTTCTTTGTCGCTCAAGGGTATCTTCGATGGATGACATGAAGACGTTTGCTAATAAGGGCCCGAGAGGGGACCCCATAGCAACGCCATCTGTCTGTTCGTATAGAGCTCCGTTAAATTGAAATAGTTGGCCTTTGGTGGCTACGTTTAGGAGGTCAATAAGATCTGTTCTGGTAAGGGCAAGATTGTGAGTAGTATTGAACCAATTGTTCGAAAAGGCTCTGTTAACCAAGATCTCTATTGTTTCGTCCAGAGGCACGTTCGTGAATAACGAGGAGACATCATACGAAACCAAGATTTCACCCTTGTTGATCTTCAGCTCGTGAATCTCTTTTGTGAAATCAAAATTATCAGTAACTGTATACTGATTAAGGGACGTCGCGTCGCGTCGCGTCCTTTTAACTATGTGATAAGGAGGAGGAGTTAAAAGGACGCGACGACATAGTTATCACGAAACCCGACAAAGGGTCTGGTGTTGTGGTTCTAGACAAAACCGAATACTTGCGATTACTTTCTGAAGCCTCAGTCAATGATACAAGCAAGTTCCGTGCCATTCCCCTGAGAAAACCCAAGACCAGGGGCAGACCATCCAAATATTACCACCCCTACTACAGAAAGAGAAGATCCTAGATTCCATTGTTCGTAGAATTCTACCGAAGACCATTGCAGATTCCGTGAGCCCTACAGGTTCCAGATTAGCACATTTATATGGGTTGCCAAAACCCACAAAGAACCATTGGCTATGAGGCCTATATTATCAGCCACCGACACGTACAATTTTCCCTTTGCTAAATGGCTCGACGAGAAATTGAAGCCCTTGTCCCTTAATCAGTATACAGTTACTGATAATTTTGATTTCACAAAAGAGATTCACGAGCTGAAGATCAACAAGGGTGAAATCTTGGTTTCGTATGATGTCTCCTCGTTATTCACGAACGTGCCTCTGGACGAAACAATAGAGATCTTGGTTAACAGAGCCTTTTCGAACAATTGGTTCAATACTACTCACAATCTTGCCCTTACCAGAACAGATCTTATTGACCTCCTAAACGTAGCCACCAAAGGCCAACTATTTCAATTTAACGGAGCTCTATACGAACAGACAGATGGCGTTGCTATGGGGTCCCCTCTCGGCCCTTATTAGCAAACGTCTTCATGTCATCCATCGAAGATACCCTTGAGCGACAAAGAAAACTTCCATCCTATTATCGTCGATATGTTGATGATACACTCACTGTAATGCCTGATCTAGCAACAGCAACTACCTTCTTGCATACCCTCAACAGCGCCCACACTTCGGTCAAATTCACCATGGAGGTGGAGAAGAACAGCAAGCTTCCTTTCCTTGGCACCGAACTACTCAACCATGCACCTCGGATTGAAACCAAGGTATATGTGAAACCAACAAACACGGGCCTACTATTACACTACCAAAGCCATGTAGACAATCGCTACAAACGGAGCTTGCTGAAAACTATGCTGGATCGCGCACACCGATTATCTTCCTCCTGGGCCCATTTCTCTGATGAGTGTGATCGCCTAAAGAAAGTTTTCGCACGGCTTAAATACCCGGGGCGCCTGGTAAATTCTACCATTAACACCTTCTTACAATCAAGAATTGTTGGTACGCAGCCCACACAGACGCCCAAAGAACCAATATCCATTGTTCGTGTGGTCATACCTTTCAAAGATCAAGAATCAGCAAATTATGTTAAGAAAGAGCTCAAGAATCTTAGCATGAAGGTGCAGACAACTGTCCAGCCAGTATTTGTTAGCCGCAAAGTAAGCCAAGATCTTAAAGTACGAGAAATCAAGCCACAGATTGTCAACCAACAACGCGTCGTTTATCAATTTCAATGTGACCTGTGTGATGCGGGTTATGTGGGCTATACACGCGGACACTTACACACACGCGTGGATGGACATAAACGAAAGGCATCTTCAATATATAAACACTACCACGAACAGCACAGCGAAGTCCCGAAAGACCTACTGAAACGTTTTAGCATTCTGAAAAAGTGTAGTAACAAGTTCGATTGTTTGGTGAACGAAATGCTTTTCATCAGAGACTTAAAACCCACTCTGAACGTGCAAAGCGATTCAATTCGCGCAAAAGTATTTGTTTAATTAGCTCGTAACATATTTATGCTAATTTAATGTTACACTTTGCCACAAACTTCATTCTTTATTTCTCCTTGACAATGGCGTCATGATGACACCGAAACGTCGGTTTTTATCGTTAGTTTTTGCTAGTCTTTGAATAATAATGATGATGACTTTATTTATATAGCGTCTATATCACTAATTGCTCTAGGCGCTTAACAATATCACAAAATGTACTAAGAACAACCACATATATAAGCATGGAAATTAAATAGAAATATATTTATAAATCAAAAAAGGCTTGGCGAATTAAATATGTCTTTAAGTGTTTTTTAAAAGAATTCAAGGAATCGGCATTTCTTAAAGATGCGGGTATGCTGTTCCATAATTTAGGTCCTGTAATATAAAATCTTCGATCACCATAAGACTTAGGCTTAGATCTCGGGACTTGAAGTAACTTATTCGAACAAGAACGCAAAGAGTAGGAGCTGGTACAAAAGCTGAGCAAATTGGATATATAACTTGGTGAAAGTCCATTGATAGCCTTATATACTAACAATAAGATTTTATAAGTAATACGGTATTCAACAGGCAACCAATGTAAATCTATTAAAATGGGAATTATATGTTCATACTTCTTTGTGAATGTTACAATGCGCGCTGCCCTATTCTGAACTAGCTGTAGGCGGTTTAAGAGAGCTTTAGGTAATCCATGTAGAATCGCATTACAATAGTCCAAGTTAGTGATCACAAAAGCATGAATAATTGCTTCAGCAGATTCACGATCCCAATATGTTCTGATCTTACTAATATTAGTTAGATGGAAATGACATGTTTTGCATACCTTTTTAATGTGGTCTTTCATATCAGTACTGGGATCGAGTATCACTCCAAGATTGCGAACAGAAGAGGACGGTTGAATAGTTTAACCCCCAACACGAACGAATTCCAATGAGGGACTGGGCCGATAACGTGAACTGAGTCGAAGCAGCTCGGTTTTTTCCTCATTTAGCTTAAGACCATTAAGAATCATCCAATTGTTGATTTCCTGTACACATATTTCAATTCTAGATTTTACTGAGGAGAGAAGGTCATCACTTCCTAATTTAAATTACACATAAGGCTGAGTGTCATCAACATAGAGATGGTACATAAGATTGTGTCTCTTTATGATATCAGCCACTGGTGAAGTGTACAGAACATATAACAGAGGCCCAAGGACAGACACCTGCGGTACACCACAATTAAGTTCACGTAACGAAGATCTTGAGCATTCAATTTGAACAAATTGTGTACGAGATGATAGGTGGGATGCAAACCATTTCAGTACAGACTCTGTTATACCATAACATTGAGACAGCCTATCTAGTTGTATTTCATGAGATCCAGTGTCAAATGCAGCAGATAAATCTAACATAAGTAGTACAACGGCTTCGTTTCTGTCAATTGCATGCAGAATATCATCTTGCACCTTCACCATGACAGTTTAAGTAGAATGATGAACTTTATAGACTGACTGAAAGTTTTCAGGTAGGTTATTGTTGATCAGATAGTTGGTTTACTGGAGAGCAACACTTTTCTCAATAATCTTTGATAGCGCTTTGAAATTGGAGATAGGTCTAAAGTTCTTGAATTGTGAAAAGTCTGCATCAGGTTTCTTGAACAGGGGCCACAATACTGCACGTAGGCATGCAGCCATCACGAAGAGGGAGGTTGATGATGTTAGCAATAGTAGGCAGCAATAGATCTATACATTGTTTGATAATAGAGGATGGTAATGGATCCAAGACACAGGACTTCGAGAACAGTGTTGCAGTTAGTTCCCTGATGTCATCAAGCTTCATCTCAGTAAAAGTTGAAAATTTAGTCGAAGATATTGTGAGTACCTCATCAGTGACACAATCAGCAGAGTAAATAAGAGCTTTCTTTTTAACAAGGAGATCATTATGTAGTGTATCAATCTTAGTAGTGAAAAAGGTAGCAAATTCACCAGCAAGCATACGGTCGTTTTTGGAGGGTGGATAGTAGTTAACAGTTGGCTTTTGAAGTAGCTTTTGAACAGTTTTGAACAAAAATTTTTGATTACTAGAGTTTTTTTTGAACGAGATGAATAGACGAATATCTCCGACTTAAGAGACTTAATCAGATTGATCACAACGTTACCTTGGTGTACATAATGTACGCGGTCAACAGGGAGTCTTGATGCTCGCCATTTACGTTCAAGTTGTCTTCGTTTCCGCTTCTCAGCAGTGACTTCAACTGTGTACCAGGGTGCAAATGGACGGACAGTGACAACTCGTTCTTTCACAGGAGCATGCTTGTCCAGTAGTGATCGTAAGACTTCATCATAATTATTCACAACTACATGGAGATCATCTTGATGTTGAAGAAGAACAGAACTTTCAACATCACTTCGGAAAATCAATCAATACGGCGTAGATTTCGAGAAGAGACAACCTTCTTTACAAATCTGGGCTTTTCTAGGTGTAGAGTTGAATGAACAGCCAAGTGATCAGAGATGACAGGATCAGTTGATTTAACGTCGTTAACAAAATGATCCATTGCATTAGATATTACTAAATCAAGAGTGTGTCCGTTAGCATGTGTTTTCTCTCTGACATGCTGTACGAGATCAAAGGAGTCCAGCAAGTCCAGAAATTGTCTAGCGGTAGCATCATTGGAATTGTCGACATGTATATTAAAGTCACCAACAATTAACAATCGCTTATGTCGTAGATCGGCAGTAATATGTTCCAAAAGCTTAGAAAATTCCTCTAAAAACAAAGATGTTGACGAGCCAGGAGGTCGATAGACAAGCAGAATTTTTACATAGCGCACCATGCGTAGGTGAAAATTCATTAATTCAAAAGAGTGATATTCATCTGTGAGAGAGGTGTTTAAACGAATGCTGTTCTGTTAACTGGCATAAATCAGTACAATTTGCAAAAAAATCTAACATAACACTCTTACCTTGTTTATTTATGATTTTATCAGCTGTTTCGATGATCACGTTAACTATGCTTTACCACATTTGAGTTCCAGTTTATATATCTTCTCTATCTTATTATATCAGTTGCGTGACAAGTGTGACACAGACATTCAAATGTGAATCAACCTCCAAAATACCAAGAGATGGGTTTTTTCCCTCTTTGCATGACATCTAGAAAAACCTTTCAGGAATTACTGCATTCAGAAAACTAAAATGTCCAGATCCATCAATGATTCCTTTGCCGGCTAAAGTCAAAGTATGGCTACAATAGTCAATTTGATTGACAAGCTACATACTGATACTGACCCCCCCGGTCCAAATCCGCTAGCGGATATGGGTCCCCTTCGCAGATTTGGAGCCTCCTTCCAAACTTTCCTTTTAAGCATCCTTTGTATCACATTTGGTAACTAATTCTATTTGCAAGCTTTTTGTCGATGTTCTTTTCAATCACAACACAACATTCCTCAATAAAGGTAAAAGAAAGAACGAGCCATTTCGTTCCAATTCTACCGCATTTATTATAGCGAGTCGTACAGTATACGTAAGAATCAGATGTAAACAAACTACTGCATTCGAACAATTGAAATTGTTACGATAAATCTTTGCTTCTTCTGATGCGAATCAACATTGATACGAAACGTCATAACAATAGTGGAGACTATTGCGTCCAGTCACAAAAATAACTCAGTCTGATGTTCTAAAATAATAACATTAAACAGTTTCTGAACAAGAACGAAGAAACTACTCCTACTACAAGTCGTTCGTAAAGCCTATGATAAGTAAAAATGTTTCTATTCTGAACTATTGGAACTCTCAGCTTATTTTCAGAGGCAAATCAACATTAATGTCAACGTCTTAACAAAAGTGGAGACTATTACATCGAACTCAATCTTATTTTCTGATTTTTAACGATTATTAACTGTTGAGGGATCCGAAATAACACCTTAACAATTACGAAGACGTCTAGAGTCTGGCGATCTGCAGACAGCCACTCGCCCTCCGGGGTAGTCTTAAATCATGTGAAACCATTCCTCGCACAACTCGCATCGTACCATGTCGTCCCAACACTCAGGCATTGAACAATGACAAAATAAATTAGTGTCACACTTTTGTCTCCTATTGAATCTAGTGGTGTTCGACTATCGCGGAAAAGGTTCAAAAACGACCTCTCTCATGAAATCAAACTAAACTCTTGCCCAATTTCCCTTGGTCAAAAGAAACATCCGACGGGATACCAGTTCGTATGCATTAACGATACGCATGTTTTGAATGAAAAACATACTTTAGTACGCACTGGAACGTAAAGTATCATCCATTTTTACTAGAACGTTAAGGACGATGTTTTCACTCAGTTTTGTTGGGGGGTCCAAATCCTCGGAGGTGGGTCCAAATCCGCTAGCGTATTTGGACCGGGGGGTCCAAATCTAGGGGGTCCAAATCCGCTGGGACACCGGCATCTTCGAGACGCCAAAAGATATCGATTGCCTCACTCACAAATCAAATCTCGGTGTTGAGTGGAATCGTGGTTCCAATAGCAGATGTAGGGTGCCACAAGAAATGTCCGGCCATGGTAAAGGTAGGGTTAAGTCGATTCCAAAAGCTGATAGGGGAATTGGCAAGCGTGTATCACAGATATTACTCAAGATGTCTGGAAAATTCGTACAATCTGGCTTCGGTAAGTAGGCTACTTACCACCGTGAGCAAAATTACGCGTGACGTCAGACTTAAGTCTCGATTGGGAGTTGGTCAATAGGCTACCAAAAAATCAGACAGAGGCGGAGTTTTCTGAACTAATGTCTGAACACTTTGTTGGCTTTCCGCCGTCTGGGGGGACGCGTAGTTATGCACACGGTGGTGAAGGGCCCTTCCGCACTAGCAACTAGACGCTGACAAAACTTGTTTCTCTTCGCCAAAATCACATCAGAATTTGTCCTTGCTAAATGTCAAGTGTGCTGCAAGTATCAGCACCCTCGAGGACCTTTACATAAGATGGCGGGGGCGCACGCCTGGAATCTCGAAAACGACCGCTATAAAATTATAAAAGGTACTCAAGTCTTATCTGTGTGGGAGTTGCAACAATTAGCCAGTAAAAACAAGTGTTTATATCCTTTTCTGTCTTTTTCAATGCTTCCCTCGCTCCTACAGAAGATTCATACAAATACGAGAGCCGTGCCGCGTTTACATTGCACAGGTAGAAAAGGTCGTCCAGAATGAGTGTTTCGTTCTGTAATGAAAACCCCAATAAACTCTCTCAGAAATGACTCGTTTCGAATAAATTTTACGCTGGTTATTATGTGGCAACCGGTATGAACTCGTTCTTGTACAAAAAGGCCCCTAAAAGTCTTTATTCCCGGAGCATCACGCTTTGCTCGCCTGTCTGAATACTAAAAATTTCAGAAGCGTTGAAGCAACAACCCGCTTTTAACTGCTTCACTGCTGCTGAAACAACGATTAGTGAAGAAAGCACAGATTTTAATATTTTCAATTCAACGTAAACAAAAATCTTTATACATGCTAAATATTCACTTGTGTCGGCATCAATTATTGCGTGACTAGCTTATGATATAAATGAGGTAAGGGAAAACATAACGCAAAACCTGGGCTCCTGTCAAAAAGTAATATCGAGGCATAATATAATAATCGAAACGGCTAATAAAATCATGAATAAACAAGGTAAGAGTGTTATGTTAGACTTTTTTTTACAAATTTTAGTCATTTATGCCAATTAACGGTGGCGACAAGTAGGCGCACCATGTATATCTCATAGTCGCTATCAAGTAAATTTTGCCGGACTCTGAGTTCGTCTCAAGATAGAACAACACAAATACACAAGGAGATTTTTACAGTAACTTAATAACCATCCTTTGGTCTTATCAAAGCTTGAAGCTCAGTAGATTCTGTCATATCGGTCATTGTTAAAACTGTCTTTGTTTTGATGCTACTTTTCGACATAGGAAAAGTATGTCGGACAAAAATATTCACCAAAAAATAAATATCTCTTTGCCAGCTTCAATAACGACAGGGGATTAAGTTTAGATGATAAAACAAAGGGTTATGTTCACAGAAATACCGTAAGTCTAGTACATTCGTCACATGAGGTCACACAACTCGGGTAATATTCACGGTGAAAATTTGCATATTTGAGCGGCCGAACGAGAAAGGGCATTTCTCGAAAACTAAAATACATCTTCACAAGAAAACTACTCCACAATTATTAGAACAAATTGGGCTACAAAATATGAAAGTAGGAGAGAAAACGAATTTTGGGCGACTTGCCACAATATTTCAAATTTGTTCTATGGATGCTGACTTCCTCTCTTAAGAGTAAGTCTAATCCCCTGGTGGCCATAAGGCCTTCATTCATCGTGGGATTAAAGTTCTTTATCTCAAAAGCTTCAAAAAAATTCAGCTGCGAACAATTGTAATTACCATCTATAACTCACAATTAATGTAAACTGCATAACAAATTATGATTCTGAAAAAAATCAAGAAACATCTAATATTTTCAAATTAAGAAGGAAAAAAAACGAGGATAGGAATGGACATAAATTGATTATGACCTTTACAAGCCATGACTTCATTTTCTAAACACATACTTTAGGAGAAAGCTTTGGATCCACCGTGTCTCTATCAAATCGAGATTGACGCTTAAAAAGGTTTATCTAAATTGTTTAACCGTCCAAGCCTGAGTGGTAAAGGCATTTGATACAGTAAACTGCCACCTGAGACTAAGCCCCTTACATGTCGCTCTGCTTTCTCTCTCTCAGATGAGAAAGAGCTTCTTCTAAATTGCGTCTTTTAACGCAAGGAAAAGTACGAGTAAGAGCTTTGTAGAATTCGTCATATCGTAAACAATACACCCACGGGTTAATTCCTGACGAAGTAAAAGCAAGAGCTTCCACTGATAACCACACTGTGTAGTATAACAACTGTCTGGTCAGGCCACAGTGATGCGGGGTAAAATAATTCACCAAAGATGTGATTAGACTTGGTAACCAGCAGACAACAAAGAGTCCCACCACAATGCCAATTGTCAAAGCCGCCTTTGAGTTTCTCCTTCCTCTTCTCAGAGCCTCTTGACTCTGCACTGTGTAGTTATTTCTAATTTTTTTCGACTGTTCTGCGGCTGCTTTCAATATTCTGACAGAACAAAATATGATGATCATCATGGGAATTAGAACTGTGATGATTGTAAATGATAACCACAGTGACACTGAACCATCCTTGACAAAGAACCTGGAGCACGGGAGAATGAAAGAAATGAACCAAATAGTGACAATGAGTATGTAACATCTCCTTTTGGTGAGAATATCTTGGTAGCGGAGAGGATAGAGGATCGCCAGATACCTGTCCATAGTAACACAGCATAAGTTGAACGTGGTGGCCACTGTTGTGTGGATCCAGAGATAATCGATAACTTCACCATACGTCTGCACGTGACTATTTGCATCATATCCCACACATCTGGTGAAAATCCAGACTGGATCTATTACAAGTCCTACTACAAAGTCTGCGGCTGCCAAAGAAGCGAGGAACAAGTTGGAAATTGTTCTGAGAGACTCATTTCGAGCGACCAACCACAACACAATCGCGTTACCAATAATGGCCGCTAAACCTGCAAGGCCATACCATGATGACAAAATTATCTTGGCTGCCAAGTTCAGCTCTTTAAACTCACTTTTGCATGAGTTGTCCATTTTTTTCTCTTCCCTTTTTCACCGTGGCCGTTCTGCAAAATCCGCCGACAAGATCACGAAGCAGCATTGAGTTTTCGACAACGAATGAATTAACGATATCGAATCCTGTTTTTAAATGTTATCGCCCAATCAATAAATATTCATCAAAGCTGTCAAAATCCAAAGAAATTTTATAGATTAACTGGGTAATTTTTATCGCATGGATTTTCGCGAATGACTTTTTTTCTTTTTGTAGTAATAATAATGAATATGTCCATCCCCTTATAGAACTACTCTAGTTCATCTCGGTTTCACTATTTTGCTTGTCACAAGATGGTAATTTTTTGTTTTAATATTTGTAATTAAAATGCCACTCGTAATCAGTCGCCTTAACTCGTTATCTCATAACGCAGTTTGTAAAAGCTCGTAGGAACCGAGATGGATTCCATGTTTATTGAATGTGAGGTGTTGAAGGCTTTCATTATTGAAACTTTTTCACTTTTAAAATAAGATTGCAAATTTTTAGGCGGTGTGCAGGTGTTATAGCTTTATATTTACACAGCACTATATGGTGCCCACTACAAACAGTATTTTATTTTGGTCACGTTTCATTGCGCTCGAAACCTTAAAAAAAATTTAGTAGACGTTTTAATAGCGCGTATTCGTGACTGTTTCCGTCAATATTTAAGTGCTACATGACCATGAAACTCCTCTATTGACACTTCAATTGCGTGCAAGTTAACACTACCTGATAATTTGCATATTCTGTTTTAATGAACATGTCAAGAAGCGTAAATCAATAAACATGCTTTTAACTGTATAGGCAAACGTGTTTTTCGAAAATTAGATTTAAGACCAGGAATTCGCCTTCAAACGCAGCTCTGGTCAAAAAAAATACATACTGAACTGCTACCTATGTTCAATGTTTTTGAACGATCGGGGTTTATACTCGGAAGGGGGAAAGATTGATTGCAAAAACAAAAGAAAACAAAAAAGTTTTAAGAGTGAACAATTAGATCTTAATGTTTTTGATGGTGTTATTGTATCATAATCATTCATAAAGTTTGGTTTCACTGCAGCTTTATTTTTTACAATTGTATATGAAAGTTACTTTACTTTTATTACTAATTTTACTTACAAATAAATTATTTGTCACTTTATCTTAAAAATATATATGTATACATAAAACACTATAATATCAAACATTAATTGCTTGTTATTAAGAGTGAAGAAAAACGCATTTTCTCTAAGAGTAGATATACCATAAAACGTAGAGTTTTGATTAGTGTTTCAGCGGTTTAGTGTTGAAGATGTTTAAAGCGACGGCTTCCTGCTGTACTGCTCAATGTTTAGACGGCGAGCTGAATTAACAACCAGAAATTGTGTCACTAAAAAATGCTCGAATATCAGTGGTTATGAAAAACCCTTATTCGTGGCTGAAATAGCTGTTTTAAGCCCAAACTGTCCGATTTCACCTGTTCTATTACAAACTCCTGTAATCAGCCAAGCCAAATCAGACGGCTAAGCAACAAATTAATTTTAAGCACTTAAAGCCACCAGCCGATGAAACTCAACTAGCTAGCAAGTGCTAGCCAATCAAAATAAAGAAAACTTCCTTATGGGCCACTGAATTTTTTTTAACAGTATTTAGATTTTGGAAAGTTGAACTTTAGCTAATTAGTATTTCTGTAAGCGGTATTTGTACTCTGACATTAAAAATTTTCAGTGCTTAGTATCTCGAATAAGTTTTGCGTTTACACAATCAATAATGCTAATAGGACCAAGTGGAGTCCAATTCGGTTTGTAATCAAAGGAGTGATTAACAAAATCGGAGTGCGAGTTGTCAGTCACGAGTATGATTGCAGACGGAGTTAGACGACACGAAGTCCTGTTACCAATTAATCATAACCGTTACAATTTCCGAAAAAAACAAATTCATTTAGAACAAACATATGCGGTAAAGACATTGTGTCAAATAAAAGATTTCTTCATTTTGGAAATTCCCCAGTTCTTTCTTTTTTTTTTTTTTGCAGGATAAGTAGTTATCACTATGGTTATTGTGATCAATGCTGTGATTGGTGGATTTAGCTGAGTGGACTAAGTAAAATTGGCTGCTTCAGCAGTCTGATTGTAGGCGTCCGATCACAAGCAACCGTCCAATTACACAGTCTGATTACAACTGTGCAGAATGATTAGTTGAGAATAAAGCAGCCAATGTACCAATCACAGTTGAGGAAATTGTAACGGTTATTGTACGTGTCATAGAATACTGAGGTAATCAGCCTCTTGCTATCATCCACCCGATTAAATATGTCGTAGTTTAATATTTTACCTAATGGTTAAAATGAATTCGAGGACCTTTTCTTTCTTTCTCTTTCTTTCTTTAACAGAAGGCATTATGCTCTTAGCTGTTGTAACTGAGTACACGAAGCTTGTGGGCGCAGCGTAGCTTCAAAAGGATGCGGCACACGTCGCAAAGGCTATTTAAATTCGTGTTCGGTCAACGGGGCTGCTTCACAAAGATCGGGGAGAGGTTTCGTAAAACCATCCTTCCCATTCAGAAAATGGGTTGTTATCGTTCCCTTGCCCTGTAAGGAAGAAATTTTTGAAGAAACGTGACTTCCTACCATGACAAAACTCATATCGGCAACATGAACAACAAATCAAAGGTCATGGCTGTATTGTAAGGAGACATGTAGTGTGTAAGCCTAGATGTGCTAACACGGAAATATGTATTTTCCATTTAAATTGGTTTTGCATGTTTTCTAATCTTTCATTCTACAAAATTTTCCAACGCGTTATACGCGCCTACGGTAAAGTCAATTTGATGTGCTCCTTTGGAAAGTTAGCTGACTTTTATCAAAATTTCCTATTCTTTTGATTTAGTCAATTATTTTTGTAATCTCATACCTGAAAGAACATATTATTTATACAATTTAGATTTTACTCTTCAGTCTAACTTTTTTGAAATTTTACACATCATTATGTTTGTGGTCATTTTTGATACTATTTTGGCATGACTAGTTCGAGAACGACAAGTTATTGCTTAGCTTCATGACATGGCCGCTTATAAATCAAGTCACTTACGTTTGACTCAGTTACTTACCTTAATGGAGACAGGTCCTCTTTCTTCAAGGTGAAAGCCTCCAAGTTGATCTAAGGCTACTTTACATTCTGGGCTCAAGTGGATTCTTAAGGCTGAAGTGTCAATTATGTTTGAACTATATCAGGATTTTTTCCGCCAGATTTTATTTTTTTTCGTCGCTGGCCTTTGGCGAACTGATTTGCTCAAGATCGTTTGTTTTTGAGTTCAAATAGCCCGTCTGTACTAGTTGAGGCTGACTAAGAAGTTCTTTTTTGATAACAATTTTTTAAGCTAGCTATTATTGGTTTTATCATCTTTATCACCCCTATTATCATCATCATTACCATTGTTGATATTATTTTTTATTGTCATTATTACAACTAATATTGTTATGATTATTATTATTATTATCATCTTTGTTATCATTCCAGCTGTTATTCGCTGTTATTCCATTAAAGCATACAGTACGTTCCGTAGACAAAAGACGTTTGGACAATATGGGTAATTAACATATTTTAATACTGCTATAGATAAGTTTTTATACATACAGTTATTGTAATCAGAATTTTGATAGTTGCGATTATAGAAATAATATTATCCTTACAATCGATCAATTCCTATCTATTTAAGAAAAGATATATTGTAGAAAGAAAATTTTAAAAAATCCGAACTATAGCAACATGATCAACAAAAAAAACTACTCACCAAGTCCACTAGACTCCATTCTTGACGCGTAGTTCACAGTGTCTCCAAACAAACAGTAGCGAGGCATTTTGAGCCCTACGACTCCAGCTACACACGGACCTTTAAGCAGACAGAAATATATTGTGATACATTTTTTTTGTTACATCTGTATCCTCTTTCTCTTTGGCGTTGCTTGGTACATAAATTGTAATTGTGAACAGTAGAGAGGCTTCAATCTTCGAGTTTTCTACTTGTACGTACTTTTTTATGCTGTGGAATACACTTTTTTGAACCACAACTTCTGAAGAAATTAGCATTTTACAATACAGGCTATAGGAACATTATCCGGCAAAACAAGCATAGTAAAAAAAAAGTAAACGAATTTAGTCCTATTAATTAACGAACCTCAGATCTAGAGACTCTTTTGGCTGATACACGCACAAACGACGCGCCACCAGAAAGCTAAGCTGATAGAGACCGGCAGTTCATAACCACACTCGCAGGGCGACGCTGTTTTCTCAGCAAAATTCCAGAACAAGTGCAGATCACACGAACTTTATCATTTCCTCATACATACACTCGTAACTTTGGCGAGATTCCATAGTAACCCCATGCTTCATTACGCTTACGGTTAATGTATAAAATAAAGATCCCACTTTTTTGAAGCTTACTGTACGCTGTGTTTTCCGAGCCAAGCTCTAAGCTTTCTCTTGCATTTTAACGAATACCTCAGCCTCATATTCTAAGTAGATACTGACCTGTATGAATCCCAATTCGTAACTGAAGCCTTTTATTTGGCATGTGTTGTATGGTAAAGTCTCTGGTTGAGCTGAGCAGGTTTAGCGCCATCGTGGCGATCTCACCGGCATGTTTGTTATCGTTTCTGACCGGTAAACCTGATACCACCATATACGCATCACCAATTGTCTCAACCTATTGTTTTACAACAAAGATTTGTTTCACACCTCACAAAGAAACAGAAGGAAAGGTAGGTACATTTCTCCCTAACATGCTGTCCAACAGCAGAGGATTAATTGCAGAGGGTGTAACTTGTACTCTAGGTGACTTACTGAACAGATTGATTTGTCAAGGGGCAGGCTTGAAGCAATTACACGTACTGCCTGTTGCAAGTCAAATATAAAAGAGAGCTCACCTTGTAAACATCATGAGAGTCAATAACATTATCGAAACAGGTGTACAGGTCATTCAGAAAATGTACTACCTGCGAAAAACAACCATGTAGTAATGAAAGAACAATTTTCACCATTTTTTCAGGTGTAACATCAAGAATTCGATACGATCTTTATCAAATTTACCACTCCTCTACTTCGGCGTAGGACTGAAAAAAAACTGGCACTCAAAAGGTTGAAAAAAGCGCCCATTACCTGTAATGGTGTACATTTAGCAGCTATTGACGTAAAGCCCACGATATCGCTGAAGTAAATGGTCACTGAGGAGAAGCTTTCTGCTGTCACTGATCTTCCCAGCTTAAGATCTTCTGCGATCGGTCTAGAAAATGAGAAGCAATTGTAAAAAAAAAATCATTCAAATGAACAGGAACGAGTTCTAGGGCCATAGGCTTGGTGGACTGCGTTGACCTGTTCACAGGGTGCTCTTACATTTATTCCCGTGGATCGTGAGACATCTCAGTCCTACCTTTTCATTTTGGAGCAAGTTGTCAAACAATGAGCATAGGCTGTATCCAATTCTAAATACTCAACTCGGGGGAGGGGGGGTGTCTAATGCCACATTCACAGCAGGAAAACATGTTTAGTTAAGCCAGATTTAACTGAACGAAAATTTACGATACAAAACTGAAAAATTTTATTTTACGTAGTGTTCAAGTAAAAGCTGACTATTGCCTATCTATTCCATTAAAGCATACATTACCTTCCGTGAACCGTGAAAAGACGTTTGGACAATATGGGTAACATATTTTAATACTGCTATAGATAAGTTTTACACATACAGTTGTTGTAATCAAAATTTTGATAGTTACGATTATATAAATGATATGATCCTAACAATTTATTTCAAAGCTTTAAAAGCTGTTTTGTTAAACACGGTTTATGTTTGTTTTCTATATAGAAGTTGTTTAAACTGATGTTTGACGACTCAATAACTAGCACAATGAAAATACAGAGAATTAAAAAACTGAATTTTTCACAGGTTTCAGGTAGCCACTGACTCAATGTACTACATTTTAAGTCGACAAACATCAGTTGAAGCAGTTTCTATGCAGAAAACAATTTCCAAACGTGCTAATAGCAAAACAGCTTTAAAACATGTTTAAGCTCTGGTGAGAATGGAGTATGAGCAAAGCGTTTTTACACTTACTTAGGAAGCATTTTGTAAAGAAGCTCGTCCGTTTTAGCTTTTTCTTCTGCTAGTTGCATCGTTCTCTCGTCTACGAGATTTTCCAGCTGGTTTGTGTAGTCCTCCATCATACGTATCATATTGTCTACAATGTTAGCATTCCTGAAAAATGGGAAAAATCGTTTTCACTAAGGCTATGATCTCTCATATTATCTCGTTTGATTGACGTAATATTTCTTTTGTTATCTCCTGTTTCATTGACAAGCGCTGTTAGCAAAAGGGATTCAGTACCCAAAGGTTTGTTTGGAAATCATTTCATGGCGATGAAATAAACTTCCACGATGAGCTTAAACCCTGTTATGTGTTTGAATGATCAAAGTAACTAATCCAGTGTTGCATTTCACATGCGTGCATATTCGTTATGCTCAAGAGAGTTGTTCTGCGCGGATATATGTGCACTGTGATTTCGTGTCCTTCCTTGGCTGAAAATGGTCATGTCAACAACAAAAACTGGTGTGAATCTAAAGCCCTTTCAAGTTTTATCCTACCATCAGCTGATTTCTCAGTCTGACAACTTAAAACGTCAGAATTAACATGATAAAATCTTACTTTCCGCAGTTGAGAGACTTTAACTTTGACTTTATTTCCGAAAATGCTGGCCTCATTGAAGGATCGTTATCCCAACATGTTTCCATCAAATGGATGATGCCTTCGTTGTCTCTGATTTCACTCGGTAGGTCAGGCCGGAAAGGAGGAACAAGACATTTCCTCACTTGGTCGATGATATCTTAAGAAAAAACAAAGAGTAAATAATATTTAAAAGATAATTACAATTAACAAACGACTGCAAACTTTTACGGTTTCTTTATTGAAATACTTTTAATTTAAAATCCGTTAGCCAGTGAAATGCGATAATCTCTAGAACATCTATTTTCTTAGTGCCCTTCTTGCTACTAGATCTGTTTTTGATCTCTTTTGAACATGGCAACCAATTTTGACAACAGTTACTTTAATTTACTGACTCCTTTGTTTTCTCTCAATTTCTACGACCTCCTCTGATGTATTCTTTCAATAGAAAATTTTAAAAAGACTAAGAAAGTCAATTAGACTCCGTTGTGTTTCCATAGAACTGCATTGATATACATCCTCCTCCCAAATTCGGTTTTTGGCCACAGGGTCGACTTCACGAAGGAAATTATTTTTAAGATGTTTAGATTGCGCAGCCAGGGTGAAGTCCTGCTGCAGGTTCTTTCAGTCACCTTTGGGATCCACGCAGTGTGAAGAATATGGTTCCTCTCTACTGAGAAGTTCACTGAGGATAATTCCATAACTGTATGTGTCACCCGCTTGTGAATAACGTGGAATGGCATCTTCGCAAAGGTGCTCCGGCGCGGTCCAGAACAATTCTAAAGCAAATATGAAAAAATGATTGTCACTCTTCATACTTAGAATAATATCTCAATTTAAAAAGCTCTTAGACTAATGTAAGAAAAAGTGGCAAAAGTTGATTAAGCTTACTCCTGTACTTAGCATGTTCGCTGATTTCATGTGCTCTTTGGCCAATCTTTAACAAGCCAAGCCCATAGTCAGATACTTTACAAACCCAACGACTGTCAATCAAGCATTTGGATGACCTAAGATGACCATGTACGTGTACAGGGGAGGCGTGTAGAACCCACAACCCCTGTGAAAAAATGTTTAAATTATATAAATGAGACGAGCTGAGTTTTCGAGCGTCTTCGATTTATTAATTTCAACAACTAATAATTGCAGCCAGATAAAATTCAATTACCGAAAATAGCCAGCGCTAACTTATAGAAAATTTAGTCAATGGGCCAAAGTCAAAGATGAGTTCGGTCTGGACCTAGAGGGTGGCATTTGCGACGCATTGTTGTCTAATGTTTGACGAAAGATGATGCCGATTAATATAGATCAAAGTACTTGTATAAATCCCTGTGAATAAAGGGGGTGAGTTTCTAAAGTAACTGTGGTGCTGCGTCGGTGGGAGATTATAGTAGGTAATTTAGTGGTAACAACTAACTTGAAAACGTAAATTGGCCACCGAAAAGAGCAAAAAGCCGACTTTTCGAGCTTTAGCCCTTCGTCAGAGCGATTGTGGCTTGATTGAACAGGTAAAGAGCTCTGACAATATATAATTGGCTAAAGTAACTGTTTTAAATGTTTTTAAACTGAGAAATTTTAAACGAATGTTTACTTTTGAATTTCAGACATCACAAGTTAAATAAATACAGTTACCATGGCAATGTCCTGAGCAAAAGAAGCTCGGAAGAACCAGTCGAGTTTTATGTTTTGGTTGGCTAAAATTTCCTGGAAAATCAAACAATATCAGAAATCAGTCAAAACTGAGAAGAAACATCAATTGCATGGACGGTTGACAGAGCGAAAAGGCAGAAAAAATGAACTGCTACTGTTTTAACCAAGTTATTAAATTGATGGAAAGTGAAAATAATTTTCCGACTGATTGTTCAACGAATTTTGCGACGTAAAGTTTGGTTTCCCGTTAAATTCAAAATTTATTAATTTACCTTGTTCGTGGCTATGAGGATTTTGAGTACCAGAATTGAAATGTGATTCTCCTCTTCATTCCCGCCATGAGATCGTGTATGTTAAATTTTTCTCGTAATTATATTGTCTAACTGATGCCTCACCTCTAAGCTGCCACGGTAGCAGTAATGAGAAATGATGCTGACATTTGGGGATGCGATGCACACTCCGATATAAGGATTGAGATTTGTGTGGACAATATCTCGTACCTGACAATTAGGAAACACCACGGAATGGTTAATTTTATCTTTTTTTTCTGCACAGACGATACACTAACACACCTAAAAATATGTTGAAATGATATTTCTGATTCATTTCATTAAAAATGATAAACATTTATACCAGTTTGGACCTCTGTTGGATATTGGCAGGCCTCATAAATAATTTTTCTTTTCGTGGAACATCTATTTAACGCACAGTCTCCCCAAATAAATTAAGGGGGTTAAGCTCTAAAGAGACTGTGGTGCTGTCTCGTAGTGGAGTGTTAAAAGAATATTTGGTTGTTTCAACTGATAAGATGATGTAAATTGGCCACCGAAGAGACATTCTGAAACTGAAGCTTCGAGCGTTTGCCTTTTGTCAAAACGGAAAAGGTCTAATGCTCAAAACAATGGCTATAGAATATCTCTTCGGTGGCCAGTACCCATTATCAACTCATTTAACTTAACTGCTCGTTGTATTTAGCGTAGAAACGGAGAAAACCAGTTCAACCAGCAATACTTGTATTTGCCAAGCGAGCTAAACTTCCACTCAACCGTAAACTTATCAAAAGAAGCCAAACTCACCCGGGACATAAGTCCACGACGGGAGGTTTGGTTTCAATGTTTAACGGATAATTAAAACTCTCTTCAGTTGAAAGGGCCGTCGGAGTGGAAGTGCCAATCGAAAGGATATCTGACCTTCATGGCACAGTTATTGCCATTAGCGCATCAAGCCTGAATTTCACCTACTCACTTGTTTCATCTCTATCAGAATGTCACGTGTCAGGTGTACGGAGTCCTTATGAAGCCTTTTAATGGCCACCAATTCTCCCTGAGGACGCAAACCAAAGGAAAATCGTAAAAAAATATTTAAGGATATTGTCTTCGATTAATGACACTCTGAACGGTAACCTTCTAATTCCGCCGAGTAAACGTTATTGAGTACCGTAGGTATGTAGTGGCAACTGAATGGCATCCACATATCCGACAAAGAGAAAATTACGCTTGTTGATCCATAACAACGTATACATCAATTAACCTGGCCGTAACTTTGAAAAAACGATTGAAAGACTTAGTATCTTTTGTCCACTAAAGACGCCTTTTTCAAAAACTTAACAGAAAATATCGACGATTACCGCCCAACACTAGCACTGACATCACTGCATCCCAACTACATGTATTTTTGCAACGAAAGACAGAGTTTACAGCCAAATTCCGGCAAGTATGCAAGGGAAAACTGTTAAGCGCAAAATATATTTAGTTCTTCTGTTTGAGAATGGTCGGTGTTTAACCTCTTTACTTAGGTTTTAGGCTAGGCGGAAAACCACATTACTTCTCAAGGTTTTCAAAACTTCCACCAGTTTTGTATAGTGTTGCTATGGTTTCACAGGTAAGCCGGTCTGACAGGCGCAGACGTTTTTCAGCTCTGTTGCGTGTGCTCGGTATAATTTCCAATTACCTTACTAGATAGAGAATCTAAAACAACGTTACTTTATAACACCTGAAACAGTATACAGTAGCATAGAAACGACAAAAATGCATTTGAGACCTTAAATATTTGGTAGTTCACCATTTACCTTGTATCGACCCACATTTGAAAGAAACAGTTTTCCATCACCCACCCATTCAGTTTGCACAGATTGACGAGAGTTCAGACTTTTGATAACCTGCGCCAGAGAGAGAGCGAAATAGGTTTTGTCACCATTTAAAGTTACTAGGTCAAAGATTAAATTACCGCACATGCATTTGGGAACACTATTCACTCAGTATACTCAAGTTACGGTACAGCTAAGGTAACTCACACTTTACAGCACATAAATTTCGGTTAAGTCAAAAGTTATAACATTCTGACATGATGGCAGCGACCAAGGTTATTTCCGATAAAAGTGTCTGGTGTAAATAAAGAAAAATCACGTTAAAACTACTTTGCCTTTACTTTGTGAAAATTGTGAAGTTCTTTTGGTTTCAGTAAGAGCGCTATTCGATTGAATGTTGTGGCACCAAACCCCAAGTTTTCATAACGACCAGTCGGAAGAGAGAAAAGTACCCTTAGGAACCAATGAGCACGAGGGCTCAAACTAAAACAAGCAAACTGTCCAAAGAGCGGGAAAACGGAGGTGACTTGGTTTTAGCCTGACTGGTGGAGAGAGTGGCTCGAGTTTTTTGGGCCAATCACAGAGCGATGTAGAATAAAACCAATGCAACCTCGGATCACTTTTGACACTCAATTGAAAATGGCTCTAGTGCAAGTGCTGCTTGAGAACCAGAATTTTTTGGAAACAAAGCAATTTTCTGCCGACCAAGAGTAACAAAGCGTGGAGAAAGCTTATCGCAACCGTTTTTGAACTCAATCAAATACATTGTAAGGCTTAGACTGTCTACTGCCAATTTAGCCAAAATAATTCAGTAATTATGACGCCTTGTGATTGACTGCTCCATTATCTGCTCAGATCTCCCAGGGAAGTATAATTAAATTTGCAATGTTTAAAAGTATCTTTTGAAAAATGTTTTGCATCTGTCAAGAGCTTGAGTCATAAAACTTGGTTGAAGTTTCTAGATGATCATTTGATTTTTTTGCGATTCTTCATAGTCTAATTTCTTGTTTAAGTTGACAGATTGAGCCAGAGGATAAAAAAAGTTATTAGTTATTTTAAGCTAAAAATTTATTTGCTTGGAAATTAGATTTTAAAAGTATTTTAGCATCAGTAGTTTGTTTGTTTGTTTGCGTTTATTTGAAAACATTAGCTTTTGCTGTTCAGTTACTCGTTTCAATGAGTCAAAGATTCATCTGTTCACGTTGTCTCTTACAGATAACCAAAATCATGATTTCCGTTTCTGATGATGATATTAGTGCACTTATGTCGGATAAAAACGAAATGAAGGGAACTTTGGTGAAACTGACGTTACCAGCTGTTTGGAAATAACTTTACTCTTGCAGTCATAGCTTTGCATTTTAGCCCGAATTAGCCGGAGAAAATTGATAAGGAAGATTAAGCTAAATTTTTACTGGAGTGGTGGAACTTGTCTTAGAAAAAAGCAAAATGTTAAGTGCAATCCTTCGCCAGAAGTCTTGCGGTGATAATTTAGCAAAATGCCCGCGCGAATAACACGCCGTCTTCGCCGTCATTTCCCTTATTCCCTTATGTTGCAGATTTAAACTGACCAGGCTTGAATCAAATGGCTTGTATCTTAGAAATGGTTTGAAAGTTGTGTAATAAGAATTCATATAGACCTTAAGAAAACATATACCTTGAACGCAGAGTTTTTGTACAGATTTCCGTATTAGCGTGCCATCAGGAACACTGATCATCCTACCGATTTTTATAGGCAAAGTAAGCCCGGGACTGATATTTCTCACGCAATTTAGTAGTGGTCAATGATGGATTTTTGCAAGATTCACTCAACTCGGAATCCTCTAACTTCGGGTCATTTTTTTTACTCACTGTAAACTTAGAGCCAATGCTATTGTTGAGAGTCCTTGACAATCTCAGGTCTTTGTCTTGAATGTTGTCATCCACATCGAAGATCCACTGTAAACGTGTGCAAATTAAACGAGACATGCATGCGTTTTTAAACTACAAACTCGGTGCTTGAGAACACTTAGTTCTAGACGAATAGCTACTACTATATCATACATTCTGTTTTGATTTCTTAGATGAGCGTGTTAATCTCAATTACAATGACAATCAAACTAAAGAAATCGTTTTTCTGAAACCGATTTTCAGTTTAGTTTCCTGTAGCTTTCGAATATCATATCATTAGCTAATATTCCACGCAGGTTTAGATGGAGAAGGGATAAGTGCAGTTGACTCGGTGGTGCAATTCACATAATTCAATTAGTTTCTTTTTGGATCTTTTTAATAACGAAAGCCAGAAAAGAAATTTGAATTAGCTAGAAAAGCCACAAACCCTTCTCCTAATATGACATTTTAAATGCATTAAGAATTCTTTGGGGCTCTAACAGCAAAGAACTGGTAATAATTTCATCATGTTTGTAAACTACCGTTGTGCGAATAGCAGTAACCTCTTCAGTATCTGATGACTGATTATCAAAGACCTTTTCTTAATGTCTGCTCAACGATCCGTTACTGTCACGTTGTTTCAAGATTATGCCGTTATTGGGTCAAGTGCAAGAGCGCTGATCATGAACCTCAACGCGAAAATCATTTATCTGAGTTCCTTCAGTGATGGAAAACTCACTGAAGTAGCAGACATACAATTCATAGGCTCAAAACAATGGCAAATCCGATAGAGACTAATAATATCAAATGTAACATTTTGGACGTCACTCTCAAATTAATCTCTATTCAACAGATCTTTTTTAAGAAAATGGTACACATTCAAAATGATGTTGAACACGAAAGACAACTTTCGTTGTACGATTATTACAACATACTTCCTTACCTTACTTGCGAACCTGTTATCCACCGTACCTAGTGTGATTTGGCTAAAATCTATGATCCAAGCGTCATTTAAAAGGTCTTTCTCGTACATTTTACGCCTGGAATTCATAGAGAAAACAAAGAGAAAGACTAAATCCGTCGCGTAAGTCTAAAAAGGGAATTCTTAGCAACCCGTACGCATAACTCTGGAATAAAATCACACCATCTCGGTGTTTTTTGAGTGTGTTTGTGAATAAAATTTCAAGGGATGTTCACGTAAGCGACTGTACAGCGCAGAATTGGCTATCAGCAGATCCTCCTAGGATCTCCGCCAATAGAAGTGATTTGAAAAGTAAAAAAATTATTGGAGAGGAATATCGATTGATGGCGATCAGACATGTTGCAAATTTATCCAATTTGAACCACGCGTTTAAGCACATCATCTATTAGTGAATAATGCGAGGAAGAAGACGATTAAAAAAAGAATCTAATCTTCGATAGAAGAAGAAGAAAAAATATGTCTATTAGCAGCTTGCAATCGTTGAGAAACCTCATCGACTGCCTCAATTATAAGACGGTGATGATGGAAGGCTTTGATGAGATCCACGAAGACTTGGAAGAGCTGAAAGTTTAGGTTAAAAACGAATGTCCGTAGGGTGCAGTAATGGAAAATTAAATAATTATTTTACCTGTGAAAAATGTAAGAAATAGGAACCAGAACAACGACAAAGGAGGAAACAACGATAACCACAATTAACCAGTCTTCCATATGCTCATCAGAATCTGCAAGATACAATATAACCGTAACACCAAGTCTTGAGTAAGCATGGTACTCATTCAGCCATGATGAAAAATGTCAACAATTTTTGGAATCTTATGCTGAACTATGAATTTATGGCTTCAAGCCTACTTCAAGTACACGTATAGCAAAAACCTTTGTAATTCTCCAAATCTAGGGACACAATTGAAGAAAATTTGTTTCTTTAAAAAGATTACCTTATTCTGTTTACGTTACTGTAACATTTGTGCCTGTTGTTTTTCGTTGTTGTTTGTTTGTTTGCTCGGTTGTTTGGGTCCTTTTCCATACTGTCTTTTGGCACAGACGTGAAAGAGTTATCCAGAAATGCCCTTTATCTACCCTCGCTACTTATTTACCAAAATTTACCTTTACACGAATCATCAAACACACACTCGGGTTCGTCATCAGGAATCTTAGTTGATCCCCCAGGCCACACAGCTCGTACGTTGAAACGCCTTATGACAGTTCCGTTTGAATCCAGCTCCAGCAATGCTGATCCACTGCTTTTGTGTATATTTTCAAACACAAAATGTGGCACACGATTTCCTTTCTCATCAATCCTCACAGGTCCAGACATACCTGCCAATTAATAGAGACAACAAATAACTCCTGCGAATTTCTTGAATACGCTCGATTAAACCCAGAAAAGTTTCTTTTCTTCACCCTTTCTCAAGTGAAGTGAAGAAAGGAAACTAAGTATTTAAGCTTTATACTGACCTAGATGACAAACATTATATATATGATTGTATCCATTGAGTACCCAGGAGGGAGAAGATATGAATAGGCAGTGCCGTAGGATACCTCCATCAATAGATACCTCTCTCAAAAAAGGAGACAGACCTTCTACAGGTAACATGCTTACACACTCTCAAGCTCTCTTACCATGCATAAATGAAGTCTTTTTTTTCGGGGGGAGGGGAGGTCTCAGAGGTCCCTTATGGACCCAGAAAGGAGACCCCTTTGTAAGGTATTTAATTTTGTGAATAACATCCGAGGTAGAGTTTGACTGAACATCCATATGAATCCAGTGAACAAATGTAAAATCTCATACGGCCTTGGAATTTTTATTATAGTTACTTTATATGTGTTATATTAAACAACTGTGACTCTCAGCCTCAACCTCTCATCATAACTCTTTGAAACATCGCCTATAAAATCAGCATTTATGCGCAGAAAATGCTTGCAAATCCCGTTGAAGCTTTGTTGTTTACCTGTAAACAGCCGAGTTTTAGTGACCATGTTCTTGAACACTGTTGTGCCGTTGGATATATTACCTCTTTGGCTAAGAGTGCGATTAAGAGCATGCGCATAGAGTAAAACGGCATCGTAGAGGTAAGGAGCAGTCTTCGCTGCCTAAAAAGAGAAACATTGTTGGTTAAATGACTTCTTAGCTAATGAGAGAGCCACGAGACAAGTAAATGATAGGAACAAGCTTTATCCTCACACAACATCTAGAAAATATATTTTATTTTTCGGGAAAGTAAACGGGGTTAATTGATAATCTTCTCAAAACTGTACTTCTATTTGTACACCGGTATAAAATTTTTTCCTTTAGTGCATGTTTATTAGTAAAACTATCACGATCTGATTTATATTTTGAGTGAAAACGAAACAGCATTTCTATCTGGGAAGTATAAGCATTCATAGTAGTCAGGGTCATTCTGTCTTTTTTCTGTACTGCAATGAAACATTAAATTAATATGAGTTACCGTGTGACAAACTATTCTGCACTTTATGCCGAGCTTATTTATAATCGAGCGCCTCGCTAAAAGTGCATGAATCCTCTCCATTACAGTGCACAGGTGTCAACATCAAGCAAAATCGCAAACTTATATCGTAGATATATAACTATTAATACGATTACCACTGCAGTGAGATTTTGAAAGACAGGCATGTCCTGAAGGCCTCTATTTAACCATTTTGTGATATTTTGTAGCTCTAAGCCATTGGGTTTTTTAACAGACAAAGTTATGAGCCCTTCAAATATCTCCAGCATCTTCTCCCAACTCAGCGACCACGTTTTCTTAGCCAAAGATGTTCTTAGAGATTCTGATATGTAGAAATCCAAAGTGACAAACGCGAAATCTCCCTCCAGCATTCCCAGCTCCTTAGCGATTAATAGCAGACGCGCAACCTCATTCCTATGGGCTAAAATGAATATAACTAAAAGGAAAAAAGGAAAAGGAATGTTAAAATGATGTGGATTGTACTCGCTTTTCAGCTTGATTTGTTGAGGAAATTTTTTCTAATGCTTTTGCGTCCAGACTTAAGGCTGAACGTTACATTTTTCTAAAAACTTCTCAGCATTATAGACGTTTGTATATGAGCCGCTAGTTGAATTTCTCTTCCACTAAGGTTTGTATGAAAATGAAATCCTTTCTGGTAAAGGTAAACAATTGTAAATGATCGACTCAGAGAAAGCAATTTTCAATGAGAAAATGTCCTTTCGTGGTACGTTATTTCCCGTCAATCTTTATTTTGAATACTATGAAGCAGTAACATTGATGGTACATCCTCACCAACAATATTTTGCTTTCTTTGACAATTTTTTCTGTTCTACAATAGCTTACCACGAGCGTGTTTCTGTGTTTCCTCAAGAAGCTTCTTTGCGTCTCTATATTGCGTCTCTAAATCATCCATAACCTTATACACATTATAATATGAAATTGTTAAGTTGCTACTTTTGAAATAATTCAAAACGTTGTTCGCAATTGGTACCCAGATACTCGTGAGGCCGTCATCTTTAGCAAGGATTGCCGCCCTTCGCCATTTAAACTTGCGCATGATCTGGTATAGAATTAAAGGTGTACTTTCTGAATACGTGCGGCTAAATGGCTGTGTTCTTGCAAAAGTGGAATATTTGTCCCTGTCCTGAAGGTCCAGTGATGAACACGAAAACGATATGATAGGTTTATTCCAATATTGTGCGAGGAGACCGGCAGAGAGGCAAGCTATCGAACACCCCGGGCCTATGTACGCATCCACAGATGCTGATGACTGCATAAGGTCAGCGGTTATCCCAACCGCTCTTACTGGGTCACACGCACTGTTTTGGACTGTATACGTCAAATTGACACCAACAAGTAAATTCTCATCGTTGTTTACATCATCAAAAGCCGCTTTAATCACAGGCCTGATACCATCTCCCACTTGAAATGTTCCTGTTATTGGTACCAATACTGCCACACGAATTTCCTTACTAGCCGCACAAGATAACCATAATTGAACACAGGTCACGTACAAGGGGAACATCGTGACTTATCGAAGCGTGCAGCACTCGGAGATCAAGCAAACGTCTGAAATACAACAGGTGCACTTATTACAATCTTGATGTACGCATAATTAAAATTTGAAGCATATCAGGTTCTTTGAGAAACTTGTTTGCCTAACTCGGACACAGTTATTCATCAAAAAATTTCCATGAAACTCAAATACAAGTGACAACAACATTGTGACAAAGAAAGTAAACTAACCGAGAAAAAAGACTAATTTCCGATTTCTTCGAAACAGCTTAAATGTTATGAACAGCTGAGGTAAACACAGCGCTAATGAGATGTAAATTCAGTAAAAAGATTGAGACTGTTATGCCAATTGCACCATTTAATAACGGAGAGAGAATCTAAGGGAGACTTGGTGCAAAACTTTTTTCGATGACGCCAAATTTTGGCGTCATCAAATGAATAAAGAGGGTAAGTCTCCGAAGAAACTGTAGTGCTACTTCGGAGCGAAGAGCGAAAGTCTAAAGACGACGACGCTCTAATGAAGGGCTACCTCGAATCGTCGGCTTCAGAAACTCTCTGCGGTGGTCAATTAACATCATCACCTCAGCATAGTAATACTTTAACAGGGCGACCTGCTCTATTTTAAAACGTGCTAAAAATAAAACGAATCTTTAACAACACATTAAATTTTTTATTTTCTTATTCTGAATGCATTACCTGGTGCATTATTCTGTCTAAATAAAAATTTAATCTAGAAATGAATAACTTATTTGAAGTCGAACGGTAATTAATTACGTATGATATATATATGTAGGTTTCAAACTGTCCAACCGTTTTTTTAATTTATTTTTGGCAGGAATTTTCAGTTCACGATGAGGACTTTGGAAATGAGCCAGTTTTTCACCCGAAATTATTTGCAGCCCGACAAATGTCAAAACACACTTGAGAAATGTGTACCTCATTGTCAATGTCTTCCATATCACTCTCATTTACAATATAAAACCGTGATAAAATCGTTATGTTTCGTTTGATTCCTAGGACCAAGAAAGGCATTTTAAATTTTAGTTTTTGTTCCTTAATTCCTTCCCAGCTATCGTTTTATTTGAGTCGTTCGAATTATTGGGCTCGCAATTCTTTTAACAAAGACCAATACAATAGTAGTATTTACTAATCGCTGCTATTCATCGAACAAAAATATTACTCAATTTATTACCCTACCTTGACCGCTGAGAAAGCTTCAGCACTTCACGGTTTTTAATTCATCGATGCCACCGTGTAGCTTAACTCGATTAATAAGATAATCAACAGCGGAAACTCAAAGTTCAACCTTTAAAAAACTAACCCACGCTTTGACAGATAATCGGTTGGGTGCATAAGAGTCAGATTATAAGGGGCGGAGCCTGAAGCCATTTCCAAGAGCTAAAATAGTTTACATTTCAATATTTGTTTCGTCAGATAATTTTATCTTCTACTTTAGGTGAAGAAAGCTCCCGAAAAAGGTTTATAATTAAAATTCACAATCTATAAATGCTACGAGTTCTTTTTTTAAAGTATTTCTTTGCGAAAAGTGCCGTAAGAAAGCTTCTTGCTTTACTCGATTATATTCTTTCTTTATTTAAAAAGCGTGTTTCGCCCACAAAAGGCTTATTGAATATTGATTTGTGATACATAAATCCTCCTGATATATCCATGACAAGGCCGGAGTAAGTCAACTCGGTTACGAAGTTTCACACATATTAAAATTTTCTGGCTTTCCTCTCCAGATACAAATGCAAAGAGATTTAGTTTGAGAAAAATATTCTTCTCGTTTGACATTAAACGGATGATCATGAGACAGCAGATTATTCAGCTGTTATTCAATTTTATTAAGCCCTTCAGTTTGCTTAATTGTAAAGTTTCCTATGTTTGTTGCTAAACTGAATGATTCGTACCTTAAATTGAAAATATAGATTAAAATGTTGCTCAAACCGTTGTTACGCGGATAAAAAGATAAAAGGTAGCGACTCGCTCGCGTTGGTTTTACCTGATATGCAATGATATGATATGACTTCTGGGGGGTGGATTATATCAATAAATCTTAGCCTAAGTTATTCGATCAGGAGTGACTGACGCCAAATGACAGAAAATAAGTATTCTAAATATTGGTTCAAATAGTCTTTCGATGATTCCGTTCGCGTTGCCATAGTTTCCGTTGCCAGGAGATCGACTTGGTTATTAATGCAAATACGCCACGTTTCTAAGAAGAATCGTTGCGTTGTATTTGTAAAATTTCTGTTTGTTGGAACAAAGAAAAAGAACTGTTTTGGTAGTTCATTTTCTTTCTAAAATAAAAGTTACGTAAGGTTACCAGCCCCGAAGGTAGGAAGGTAGTTGATACGAAGATGATAAAGTGGTTCTGTGAAATCTCATGATAAGGGCTTTAAACTGACAAAGTAAGAATTGATTCATTTTGTCCTTACCATAAGAAATAAATGTGGCTCATTTCTAATTTGTTTTGGTTGTTACTTTTCTTTCATTTCAAAACAAAACAAAACAAAACCAAAAAAAAAAGCAAAAAAAGGCAAACAAATCTTTAATATTAAAAAAAATAACGTTTTCAATTTTCAGCCGCCATTAAGGACAACAGTCCCCTCTCCAAAAATTTACAACATCTACATTTCAAAGTCCAGTCATTTTTTTCTAAAAGCATCGGCCAACTGATAAGATATTTTCATCCAAAGTTATGTTGGGGGAACATATTTCGCCTTTTGATCTCCTCACTCAACCCGCTGCATTTAAATAGCGTCTCATTTTTGATATAGGTAAAACATTTTCATCTCAAATTTCGCCACACGAGCAAATGTTTACTCGTTTAGGTGAACGCATGGTGTTCGAAGTAGCAGTTGAGCCTTTCTTACAATAAGGTATAGTTTCTGTGTCAGTGATCGCTCTGAAAAGCAGTTGGAAACCTGCAGCGCTAGTCCCAGCTTATTGTATTCATCCAACGAAGGTGCACCATGGCACTGAAAACTAAAAAGTGGAACTCACCATGACAATAGTCAAATGTCACAGAAAATTGTTAATTTTGCAATTTTAATCACTGTTTGTAGTATCTTTTACAATGAGAGAAGAGCATCCTCCAATTTTTGTCTGTGTTTGCAAACCATTCTATATGTAAATGAGTAGAGTGAACGAAATATATTTAGCAAGTTTTGGCTGTGGTTTGTTTCATATTATAAATTGATATTTATGAAGTGTTTTGAACAGAAATATTTGATGATAATTTCGCCTCCGTAAAATCATGCTGTCCCTTAACTTGGTCTCTCCAACTTTAAACTTCAATAAATATTTCTTTCATGGAACTTATAACGGAACATCACAGTTACCGCAAATTTTCCTGCTATTGCATATATTTATTGAAAATATGGGTTAACTGAGGAAAAGGTTGCTCACGAAAAGACATTTCTCGACAAAAAAATCACTAAAAGATGTCGACTATGGATTGGAACTCGAGTGCTCCGTCTTATCTAATATATTTGAAAACCTAGGGTGTCTTTCAAAACCACAAACAAGGAAGCAAACAATGCAGATATAGAACTAGAGGAGAATTTCGTGTCAAATAATTTGGCAGCTCATCGATTTCTCCGTAGTAACTGAACAAAGCTGCCATGCTGCATGAATTAGTAACAGAGATATACCTTAATTACCGTATCATCTCAATCATACGCTATAATCAGTGATGAATCGATAGAGGAACAACTTTCTTGTGACATTGGATTGCATTAGTACTCACAATTATGGTAAGACTCCACAGTTAAATTACAAGAAGGCAGACAGCTTGTGATAGGAAATTAAAGAACGTGGAATAACTATATAACGCCATGGATAATCACTTACATTGTTTATCCTAGTTAGCACTGAGTCAGGCACAATTTAAATGGATTGCCTTATTTTGGCTCATGGATTGTCTCAATTTATACAAAATGTTATGTAAACTTTTCGAAAGATGAGCAGAAAATTTACATACTATTAACGACCACGCAGCTGCGTGAACGCATCGAAAACATTAACGCTTTTACAGCTTACTCAGTTTAACGCCCGGTCGCCTTGAACTGAATTGACTAGCCATCAATTGTTCATTGCTTTAATTTCTTGCAAGGGCAAAAAACTTTATCCGACTTATCAAGTATCCATGTATGCATGCATAGGTGGAGGATGTCTTGAAAGCTCTTTCAGTTTAGATTAATCTAAATGGCTAAAAGCGCATAACATTTTGGAAGAATAGAGTTACTGGTGGTATCGACCACATTAGCTTATGAAAGAAAAAAAAAGACCAAATTAGTTCAAAGTTCAGGGGAAGTTCATCCATGGCAGCTCTGAAAAATTTCCTTCCCGAGGTAATTTTTCTTTTTAATCATAGCTCAAATTCTACTCACTCTATTAATTCACTTGTCAGCACAACGTCCCTATCGTGAAACTGAATTATTGTTATTGATTTTAAACGTTGCAGATTATATTTTTGAGCTAAAAATAACGAAACGTTTCTAAGGATAACTGGGGTAAAGATATTAAATCACTGTCCTTAAACTAGAAAGGATTATAAGCAATCAAGCAGTAAAATAACCAGAAGAGTGCTTAAGAAACGTAATTGTATTGGAGCTAAATATTCATAAATTCGAGAAATGCAATGAACGTTACAGCTAGACAGGGGGTGAGTTAAAACAAATTCAAGGAAATATCAAGTCAAGGGAATGCTTGATTCATGAACACAATTTACAATAAACTTGCGTAGACTTTTTATGCTCTCAAAGTCAACCTTCTTGTGTGTTTTGTGTTTAAAAAACTGGGGAAGTCTAACTCGGGTGAATTTCAAAAGTTTCGAAAAATTAATTTAAAGTGAAGGTAAAAATTGATAAATTGTTGGGGTTCATATTTGGACGACCTGCGGTTCATATTTCGACGACTGGTGTATCTCAAAACATTCTTCATGATTCAGCTCAATTCAAATAAATACTGAAAAAAGTATCATGTATTGCATAACTCTTTGTTCAT